TTCACGTCCACAACAGTGATATACAGCAATTACAGGTTTTCTCATTTTTCTTTAGGGAGAGTTTGTCGAAGATGGCACAGAAACACACTTCACTGTTGGAAACCATGACTGCTGCATCAAAGCAGTAAGCAGTGGGAAACGACGAGAGGGAATAATCCACTCTCTCATTGTCGATGAGATGGAGATACCAGAAGCAGTAGAGTAACAGAGAGAACAACCATCTGGTTTAAACTTTGCAAGCTTAGACAACGATTCCCTAGATAAAGGTTTTCCCAAATAGGGAAGTGACAGATTCACCATGCTGACTTGGTGGGTTTGTGAGCTGGTGACAGCAGCAGAATCAAACCTTATCCCTAAGAGTTTCTAGCACTGCTCCACACACACATACTGTACATATGCATACACACATGGACATGCTCGAAAGTATTAGTTCTATTTCTGGGGTTTTTTGGTAGCCTCACAAACACTAAAGCTAGTAACTGGAGTCTGATTAAGGCTCATCAGCGTTCCATAGCCTTTTCTAAACAATACTCTTGTTGTGATTCTGTCTTTTACTTTGCCAACCTGCTCCAGTCTTTAAGGATAATGTTACTCAGTAAATTGTAGCTGGACTCCACTTGAGCAGCAAAACACACCCTTAAATAGACACAGATCTTAATATGAAGAAAGTATGAGTGAAAAGGAGCAAGGATATTGGGCGAGGCATTAAAATGCAATAAATGCTTATGGTTCAATGTTATATTAAATAAATATTAAGATAAGATAAATTGAATCCACTACCCTTTTCAGTAGCTTTATAATTAAATGTTAAAAATGGCATTTATTTTCTATTTATCTTTGTGCCCCAGTAAATACACCATTAGGTTTGTTTCTTTTCTGTAGTTCATTTTATCCATAATCACTTAACTTGTTTGCTTCACATGGAAATGTGTGAAAATTGATGCCGAAAAGGAAAAGTGTAACTGAGCATGCTATATTTTGCAATATATTACAATTGTGTAGTTAATCAGTAATGTATGGAATATGAAAACTGGTTAACTGTGATTACTGTTACTGTTTTGTAACAAAATATGGTCATCGTGGAGTCACAAGTACATCTTAAAAGAGTATATAGTGAAAAGAATACAACTTTTAATGTAATGAAAAGCATGCAAGGTGCCTGCTCAGATCATGTGTTGTGCTCTGTGATCCACACTCATGCCTGGGGCATGTCATCAGCTGGTGGTGACTGGGGTTGCCCTGGCATTGCACGACTGGGAGGTGCCCCCAAGGTAAGGGTGGGAGTTGTCTGCCAGGGTTCTTGGCTTCTGGCAAACAGTGGGTCCCGTGATTTGCCAGGAACCAGTAGGCTTTTAATGATGTCTGTGAGTTCTGTCTCCTGCAGTATCAGGTGTTGTACAGTTTGCATCATGTCAAATGACAAATGACACTCATGTGTTGGCAGAGCTTATCTATTTATCTTATTCTGTTCCAAGTGGTTATTCCAACTTGGAAAGCTCACTCTTGAAACGAATATTTCCAAATTGTGTAGAAGAGAGTTCTGGTAATTTATTCCTATTCAGATTTATAACTAAGTCTATATAGAATTTTGAAGTTTATGCTTGCAAAGTTTAGGACCACTTAAAGAAGATCTATGAATCAGGATAATGTGCAATTGTTTGCAATAACCAACAATCAAGAGGAAGTGCACTTTCCTGTAAGTCTTCTGTGTTTTGTTTTCCGTGTTAAAACACTGATAGGCTTTCAGTGCTCATGAACTCTGTACAAAAGTCTTTAATGAAAATCATATTTTTGTTGAGAGCTCATAGATACCTATCTGACACATGTTTTATTTAGGTATCTGTTTGGCCTCATTTCCATTTAACTTATTCTGGTGTGCAGATTCGGTTGTGCTGTTCACCTCAGATCCCAAAGGGTGAACCTTTACACTTGTATATGCATACAGAAACAGTCTGTAACAATGTGGTGACTGTAATATGTATTTGTTTTTTTGTGAAATCTGTAGCGGTTTGTTATAATAAAAAACTAAATCCTAATTTTCTCATTCTTGGATTCATTCCCATATTCATCTTTCATAATAGTCATGGCAAGTTGCTTTATAATGAGACGGTCATTATATACCAAGGACAGCCAGTGGTTGAAGCAGGGCACTTCTTTTTGCCAACAAGCCCTACACATTGCGACTCTAGGAGGTGGCAGCTACATCCCAAAAATAGTGTTGAGAATCTTTAAATGGCTGTTTTGGGGCACTCCATGCTTTGGCTTCAGGAACGCTGCCCATGAGGACTGGGAATGCTGAGCTCCTGCTCAGATCAGACAATGATACAGTAAGTATGGGGCTGGAGTGCTGGGCATCAGATGGGCCAGAAGAGTCACATATTTGCAGTCTTCACCAAAATCTAAACCACTGTGAGGTACCTGGATTCATCTTCTTCCCAAACGCAGATTCCGAACTCCATTTATGTGTGATTTTTTTTAATATTACACTACCTTTCTTTCACATGAACAACCTACAGGAATAAACTGGATATGATTGCAGTGCAGCAGGATGATGGGGAAGACAATGATGTTAAAGAGAACTCGGAGGCCCCTGACATACTGTACATACCAGTTTTTCAGCATACCTTGCAAGTGATGTATACACAGAAGAAACTGTTAAATTCACCCCACTGACATTTTAGGAATCTAACCAGAAAGGCATTGTGTTTTTAAGTGAATCAGAATAATGCATATAACATTTACCATGCTAAAAGGACTTGTAGCTAGTAATAGAGTGTACTTTTAACCATGAAATTTGCATTAAAATGTTTTAATCTGTTCAATATTTCTATTTAGGACCCACCCTTTTTATTTAATGTATTTTTGTTGGTGTAAAAACTATTCCGTTAAACAAGTTTTTCAGTAACAGAATAATGCACAGAAATAAAAATCAGTGGACCCAGTTGGTATTAATAAATTGTTTTACTGATTAATTGCAGCTTTTTCCACATACCATATATACCGTTTACATTTACAGCTAACGATGAATCGCATTGCCCAAAGGCATATTGAAGTAATAAACAGGGAATATCAAGGTGAATTTCCCATTTCTGTCAACCATGCAGAATAACAAAAAAAACAACTAATTCCTTTAGGTGTATTATTAAAGTGGCAAACAGTGTGAAACATGTTCTAGAATAAAGCGAACCTACATTACATGGAGAAGGTAGAGAAGCAGAATATTGTAATAAAATAAAAAAACTCCAAAAAGTAATTATCTTTAACCAGTCAATACACCTATGGGCTTCAGAATTTAGAGTGATTCTTATAATAAAAGCATAAAATAAAAATTTTAGTAAAGAAATTAAGTTTTAACTGAAAGGTTTTAACCGACGATGACCAGCCTTATGTATTAACAGCAACTGATTTGTTTTATATTTTTGTTTGAAAGGGTTTAAACTGTACGAAAAAAGGGGTTGATCTCAAATGTTTTGAGGTCTGTCCTCATGCTGCATCTCTGTCTGCAACAGGATCAAATTCTAGTCGCCCTTATCTTTCTGCATGTGACTAAATATTCAGGGTAAGCCTGATGGCTGTTGAACACAACATGCGTGCTGGTTCCTCCTGTCACGCTGTCGAAGAGAGACAGGGGGTCGGAACTGCGGGCAGGAGGCACGATCAGCCCTGGAGAGCCACTGGTCTGTCTCCCAGTCAGAACCTGGGCCTGGAAGATGTAGATGAATTGCTCTGGCTCAGAACAGGTCCTCCAGTCTGCCAGTGTCTCAAGCCTGCTGCTGAAATAGATGCCATCTCCAAACTTCCGGTCTAGAAGAGAAAAATAAAGTGCGTGCTAATCTGCACATGTAAAGTTTCCTGCAGGTTTTTTGTTATAAGCAAACTGAATAGCTTCCTTTCATTCACAGCCTTTCTCATTGTGTTCTTTAAGATTTCCAGAGAATAGAACTGAAAATATGAAATCTACATGTCAAGCTGCATTAACTATAATTGTAAACCAGATACAAGAACCGTCAGTTCTTACCATCAGGCTCCGAGTACAGCCTCTGAAACCCAACCCTACAAACCAGATCGCAGAACTGTGCAGGAACCCGCTGGTACAGGGTCTGAGTTTTGTCTGAGAGATGATTCATTTTCAATTGGAAATGCTGTTCCAGAATTGGATTGTCAATTTTTTCAAGCTATAAGAAAAAATAGAGAACAAATTTAGGAAAATTATTTTGATTTATATATTTTAGTGAATACGTATACTGTATAATAGGGAATATTTATTTTTAAATGTAAATGTAATGTAGAACATAGTATGCACTATATTACTTTTTGTTTTCTTAAAAGTATGATTTTATGAGCCTATGTAATTTCCTTTTCAAAAGACACACATATCTATTCTCAAATCTCCCTTGCTGTGCACTTAAATCATGCATTGTTACGAACGTGTTTTGGACTTTTGACTTGTATTGGCTCTCTTGCAAATACTGTGCACAGTGAGTGATGAAGAAGAGCTCTCCAGTCTTATAGAATACCTTTCAATATGCAAAATATTTCTTATGGATGGAGGAAACTGTCATTGCTAACAGCATTTGGGAATAATTACTTTCAGTGCAACCAGAAAAGTTTTGATATTTATGGAAGTGATCTTGAGAATTGAGAATATATTATAAATTCCAACTCATGTTCAGTATATAGCAGAATAACTGGGATTAACATAATCAAAGGAAAAAACCAACATAAAAAATAATTTACTGTTAATCCAAATATATATGTTGCGTTCTGCTTTTTAACGAGAATGTACTCACTTTGATTATCTGAAGACCAGCCGATTCAAACAGCTTCACTGCTTTATTGGATCTGGAAATATCTTCAGGCTTCTTCTTATAAAACAATGTATTTGAGCCTTTCAAGCCTTGTGCATAGTCAACATTTATCTGGCCTAAAAATAAAAATAGCAATTATAAAATCAGTGAATTGGTCAAAGAGCAATATATTTTTATACACTTGAACCCCTGTAAGATACCGAGCTGTCTTTGGACACACTGTACCTGTCTTCTTATTTTGTTTAGTAGTATTTTCCCCAACATGTTGTGTGCTGTGCTTGTAACTTCACATCCTAATGTTAGTTTACCTTTTTAATTGTTTTTCCACGTCTACATCTCTTTAGAAAATGAAGTGTCAACATGATCAGTCTTTTTCATAAGTAGCCCCTTCTAGCTCAGTTTCCCATGTTCTATTCATTGTCTGTGTTTTGACTACCTTAATGCAAAACTTTGCACTTGTCTACTTTAAGCATCATCTGCCAATCTGGAATTTTATCTAGATCTGTTTGGATTTCATTTGCTCCTTCTACAGTGTCTGCTAATCCTCTTAATTTGGTATAATTTGTAATCTTGACTACTTTACTAACAAAACCAGTATCTAGATTACTGATATGGTTGCATTACCCGAATGCCTTCTGCTTGCAATCTGAGAACTAATTAGCAACTAATTGATCTGACAGTCTCATCTAGCTGTGTACTTACTATAACAGTTCAGCCAGCCTGTAGACATACCCAAGTACACTAAAATTATTATTTAAAACTACACATTTTTCAGATTTATATATAATTTTTGGTGTAGAATGAGACATTATGAATAAGCATAGTGTGACTGAAATGGAGATATTTTCATAATCCAATAAATAAAAATCTTTTCCCACAGTGCTAATGATTTATGTTTATCATTTGCTTGCATTCGCATACTTACACTTCCTTTCCAGTACACATCTGTTTCCAGCATGATCTCGTACTTGCATCATCTTGAATGACACCTCAATTTCATGGCCGTTTACTGTGTAGGGCAAGTTCTCATTGTTGGCTGTCAAGTAGGCTCTTTCCATGTGAGCGTTGTGCTCAGGCGCTGCCAGCTCTGGAATGGCATCACACCGCCAGCGGACCAGGGCCTGCAGCATCTCGCTCTCCTCAGATACTGCATACTCTTCTTGCACATTGCAGCACAGCCTCTCCACTGCCAGCCTAGCGGCTAGCACGTTCAGAGGCTGCCCCGTGATGCACAGAGAAGCTTTTCCATCCCTCAATGTCTCTTGAATGGTCACCTCATGAATTGCCTGAAAACACAAGAGGTCTTCGTGTTCCTTCTGGCCAAAGTAGTAAATATGGTTGTTCCTGACGACGCATTCAGGACGAGGAATCAGTGTCTTGCTCAGCCATGCCAATGCCTCCAACTTTCCTTCAGGAGATCCACCAAAGACAGTGACAGAAGGCCCTCGATCACCTGCAGCTGTTGCACCTTGCCTCTCCTCATAGGTGTCTGCAAGTGCAAAACAAAAAAACACATTTTAAAAGGGCTAATCCTGTATGAAAAAAAAATCATACACAGGGTTACCTGGATTGCACTTGAATGCCATCTTATTGCACTCCTTGGAAGGTTTGGAACAAACCTTTAGACCCTGGGCATTGTATTTACATAACTGTCTTCAGGCTGTGACAAGTGAGTGAGCATACTGAGATACTGATGATGAAAAGGATTACTAATAATGTAAGTATATTAAATGATATCACTTTGAAATCATTAAGACAGATAATTAGACAGGTATTACAACAGTGACTGGGTGATTCCTACTGAGGTCATTAAAGCCGCTTCCATAAGAATGGATCATAGCACAAATACAGGAACAGACAGGAAGACAGGGGGAAAAAAGCTGAAACAATACAGACAAAGTAGACTCATCACAATCATCCATTTTCTGAGCACTTCTTCCAATTCAGGGCTGCAGGGGGCGCCAAAGCCTATCCCAGCAACCAATGGTTGCAAAGCGGGGTACACCCTAAATGGGGGCCTGTCCATCACAGGGCAGACACACTCACTCACAACTAGGACAAATGTTTCTTAGAATCCAGTTAACCTGGCAGAGAAAGAATGTCTCCTTCAAATTAGATTTGAAACAAGGAAATCTGTCCTTTGACTACTGGACTCTGGGCCATATTCAAATTAATAATTATTATTATTGAATGGAAAAACAAATATTTCCTTTATTGTGGTGTCTGCAGACCAAGGGTGTTAATTTGTGAACATCTGTTTGGAGAGGAAGATTTGGTCCTAGTTAGGATCTGCTTTGTTAGGAGGTGGTTGTCCTGATAAGGTTTGTTCTCTTTAAAGTCTAAGGATAGAATTCTAGAATTTCTTTGTCTATAGAAGTTGGGGGTTTGACACTTGCTGAATTATAGAATATCAATTAAATTAGATTTAATTTTATTGACAAAGTTACAGAGTTAAGAAGAGAAAATAATGTGGCTTGTATGAAAACACTTATCACACCAGTTGAAACAAAGTACTAATAGCGAGCGTCATCTTTGCTAACTGTAAACTTTAAACTAGAATTTTTGATATGGCTGAACATAACACCGTTAATTTGAATTCAACCAGATTTATAAACTATTTTGGAATTACTCACCATTCAAAGAACTGTGAGATGATCTGGAATGTTTAGATGATTCTTTGACTGCTTTCATTTCTCTATCAAATGCCTGTGGGAAAAACACATTTAATGCCATAGACTGCAGCATAAAAAAAGACATTCTCCCCCAAAACGTGATATCAATCTACAAACATAAAAAACACAATGCAATTCCTCAATTATTTTCAGTCCATTTTATAGCAGTCAAAACCGAAAAGTGAAAATATTTTTACGGCTCATAGTAAGGCGAGTATTCACAACTCCTTTCGATCATGGTCTGTATTGTACGAAAGATTGAGAAATTAAATGAAAAAGGATAAATAAAATCAGCTCAGTCATACTCTATCCCAGCACACAAGATTCTTTGGTATGGCACCTGTGGAACATCAGTGAGGAGATTTTATACAGTAAATACCTTCAACTCACCACAATCAGCTGTCTGCTATGAAAGCATGTTAGCAGCCCAGTGAAAACATAAGGCCATTAAGGCACAAGGAACATTAAATAACTGGATAATGTGTATTAGCTACAAAGTGCATGCATGAATGGTGGTCATAAAAGGGATACAAACTGTGTCTATTGAAAATGCATATGTGTCACTCTTACAGTGTGTTTATTGGGCCATTCAGATCCACACCAGTTGTTCAAGATTAACAAAAGGTTTCTGTACAGTTCTTAAATGATGGTGTTTTGGGGAAGCGCAGATGTTCTACCTAGAAATATTCAAAAGGCAACTTCCTCTACTGCCACAATAGTATGTTACATAATAATAATACATGATGTGAAAATGCAATAACCTTAAACTTTTACTCTGCCCACACACATGAAAGATCACACTGGCTAAAACGCAATTTCAATCCACTTTCATTCAAAAGGATTGCTGATCCCGTCCTACCCTGGGAGGGACAGGTATGTTTCATATGTATAGAATTACCTTATAAGTGGCTTTATCAGCAGGAAACAAGACAAAATAAACATCAATTGGATTTCCATTGTGAATCTGTGCAAAAGATGTAGCCTCATTAACCATGATCCTGGCCACTTCATCCTTGGGAAACATCAGGTTACCCGTACCAATAGCAGGAAATGAGATGGATTTCATGTAATTTTTTGTTGCCATTTCTAAGCACCTTCTGACAACTTGTCCAAGAATCTGGAGAACAGCAAAAACAACAAAATGATTCAAGAACACAAGAAGAATATGTCCAATCATTCTGTTGTTTTGTGACCTTGAGCAAAAATGTAATACTCGTACTAAAGTTGTTTAGTATGTTACTAATTCATCCAGCAATCTTCTTGGCTAGAAGCTTACAGCTAGAATGAAGCCTGATGTCTCCTATCTCCTACACATTTATCTGTATAATACACAAATGTTTCTGATGAAAGAGAGGCTGCAAATGTACTACAATTCATTAATGGCTGTCACAAGTATTTGGAGAGGTCACTCCCACATTCCCAGCATCAGCAAGAGTGGCCCACAGAGGAGAATCATGGATGATCCAAGCTCCTTGGCAATGACCAAGGCTGTAGACACTCCTCTACATCAACAATTCAGTTTAAGAAGTGTGGAAGTCTATACGGAGACAGACGACATGGCACCAGATTTGGGATTTTCCATGAAAATATTCTGACAATCACCCTCAAGTATTTGAGCATGTCGAAGAATGGCTGGGGCCCCCTATTCACTCAGAATTGACACTGATAATGAGATCTTCGCTGAGGATCCAGATAACTTTCATGCCTGTGTGTTGACAGGTGATGCATCAATTAGTGCCAGAGACCATGCATGAATCTTGCCATGTGTATTGATTCATGCATGATTAAAGACTGAAAACAGTCAAAAGAACTAGGCTAAGTACAGACAAGAAGTCAACCTACCTACCTTGTAGTCTGTAAAACATTTGTGGTGCCTTGTTCTACAAATATATTTAACCATCCTATTTGTTTATTTAAAATTCACTTATATTGTTTCTAAAATCAAATAGATCATCTGAAACTTGGTCTCACTGTTTTTAAACTATTAATGTTTGGTTATGCATAGAAATAATTAATTGTTAAAGCTGACACGTAACTTTTTTCAGTTTAGGTCAGGGTTAAAAAAGATTACAGGTGTTTATGGATTTTGATTAATGAAACGCGTAAGCAGTTATAAAATACATCATACCTCTGAGGCTCTGTTTTCATATTTGTCAGCACACACAGCATGATAGACATAATCACAGTCAAGCCTAAATCCACGGGTTCTAATGACATCGCCAGGTGAAGCAGAATATTTTTGCCTTTTGACTTCTTGTTGAAGTTGTTTCCCAGCCTTTTCCAGAATAGCTTTTGAGATCTCGCCAATATTTAAATCAAGAGAAGCAGATGTTGTATTCACGATCACCCCTGCCTGAGAAGAAAATTAAAAATAGTAAGGAAAAATAATTTTACAAAGAATAAAGGTGTACCTGTGAAGCCATACAGGTGGATTACAATTTCAACCGCTACCCAGCTCTAAGGATAATATATCAAAACAGTAACATCAATACTGACAAGAACTGATACAGAAATAAAAGTGTCCTGACAATAATTACTGAAGGCTTTCTGTAAGTGCTCTCTCTTCTACAACCTGGAGAAGTTGCAGCTGTTTTAACACTTTACTGTAGAGATGTATTGTCTGATTTAGGAAACCCTACTGGCAATAGCTTTAATCCATATCAGGTCTTTCCGCCCACTAAAGAAAAGCTCAGGTGTTCTATGATAAAGTTATTTTTCAAGCGTATTTTTATATCAATACATTGAAGAGTCTCAAGATCTAGAAAACAATGGAGCTGGGGGTCGGAAATTCTCAGCTTCCAAGCAAGGAGCAGGGCGACGAGGTATTTCCTGAGCTGGAGGGGGTCTGAGACACATTGATCAAAAGGAATCATCTGTTTTACTCTAGTTAAGTCCTTAAGAGTCTTCATCAGTGAGACACCCGGGATAAAAGACAAGTAGGCAGAAGCAAGAGAAACAGACACAAGGAAGAGAGAGACACAGACAGTAAAGGAAGAGACAGAGAGAGATACAAGAAGGCACCATGTTTGAATCAACTCTTACGACCAGATTCTAGTTAAATATTTGAACCCTGTTTGAGAGAGCTTGCTTCTGTGTTTTAGGAAACACAGTCCCTTTATGATGATTTCCCACGGTAAACTTTTCACTCCTAGTTAGTGGATGCAGTGCGAGATGGGGCCCCATTCACTTTGGATTGTATCCTGTTTTATTTAGGATGAAGGTTTCTCTCTCTTTTTAGCATGTTAGGTGTTTTATAGGATTTGGAATACTGGTTAGCAGTCTCAGGGTTTTTTTGGTTGGTCAGGATACAGGCCATTGGTTATCACAGTTTGCCTGTGATTCTTTATTCTTTTGCTAAATCTGTGCCAAAGAATAAACAGCTCAAGTGCCCCCAACTAATGTGCTGCATTTGATTTTTGATCAACAATCTGAGTGACATGTATCTTCTCGAGACGATCAGAAATCCTACCTTTTCGTTTTCGATGCTCCCTTTTTTGATGTGCAGAGTGACCCTCCCGAGCTGCAGTGAGCCCGTGGCCTGTGGATTCGCGGGGCTCCTGACAGCCTGACTGTAGGACCTGTCTGGCCTCAGGAATTGTCTGCAGGCCCCCTCCATGGCACGAACCGAGGGCTCGTCATTATTGACCAGGCGGACATCTACATCCCCTAGGTGTATCTCGTCCTCAAGATACTCTTTCAGAGTTTTCACAAGGACTTCTGCACACAGTGGTAGAGGGAAGTTAAATATGCCAGAGCTCAGGGCAGGGATGGCCACAGACTTCAGTTTTTCTCTCTTTACTATATCTAAAATGCTACAAATAGCTTTTTTTAAAAGAGGTGCAGCTCTGTCAAGTTCTGTTTGACTGGGGTAAGGACTGCAGCGTGGACCTACTGCATGGATGATTGCCTTACAGGGCAGCTGTCCTGCCTGTGTGATTACAGCGTCTCCCGTCCTTACTTTCCCATTTTGCTGGATTATATAATTGCTCGCATGTTGTATTTCTGGGCCGCCAGCGTTAGAGAGAGCAAGGGCGAGGCCGCCACAGTGATCCAAGTCCTCGTTGGCGGCGTTGACCACCGCCTCCACCCGGTGAGCGGTCAGGTCGTCCTTCCAGACGGAGAGCATCGACCCCCTCCCCAGCCTCGCCGAAAACCTCTTTTCGGGAACGAGGGCCGGCCTGGAGGAGCTCGGGGAAGACCAAACTTGGTCCGCGGGGTTGAGCGCAGCGTTGCAGCCGAACTTACTGAGGACAACCGCGCCCAGGTCGGCACTGCCGATCAACATCCGCGCGATCTCCCGGGCGATCGGGATCTCCGAAGAGTCCGCTCGGCTCTGGAGTCCTGAGCTCATCCTGCACCGGAAAGCTGCGAGAGGGGGAAGCGGCACACGTTATTCCGGAAATCTCTGGGGCTCCTCTACAGCCCGAATCGAGCACAAAGGGAGAATCTACCTTCAGAAACAAGGGGCTTGTTTCCCATTGCTGATATGTGTTTACTCCTTCCTGCATGCTGAATGGTTCTGCTTCATGAAAAAACACTGAGACATTGGTACATCACATCTGTATTTAGGATGTTGGGGAAATGTGACATTTAGTAATCCATTACAGATTGTCACTTGTGTAAGGGATTACTTTTGTATACTGGAAAGTCATTAGGGGAAAAAGGTTTGAAATACATTACAGTAATCTATGAAGTGTGTGCATAAATAATATGAAAAAATATTACCTACCTCTCAACGTTCCCCAATTTCTTATTAATTTTAAAAAGTATGTTTTACACAAGTAGCATGAATTACTTTTCAAAAGTGACTCTGACACCGTTCGCGCTGTCAACACAATTAAAACTGAAAAACGGGCGTACACACACTGAAGACAAAACTTTCATTTTCTCAGAAGACTTGTGCAGGTATAATGCGCCATAAAACGAAAATCAGGAAGAACCGGGGAGAGATACAAGTAAAGGTAACGAATGACGCGAAAGGATAACTTTGACGTTCATGCTCCGAGACAGTTCTTTCCGCGTCACCATTGCTGTTTGAGCACAGGACTGAAGGACCTGCTCTCGGAATCTAGACTAGGGCTCGTAGCGACGTCGCAATACGTAATGCAAGTTTGTCGTCTATCGCTCGCTCACCCTTTGCGCTCTCTTTATTGTCGTGTTATCATTTTTTTTTGTTGTTGTTCGAGTATGAACGAGAACCTACTAACCATTGAAAACTAAAAATTAGTGAATTCCCCCGCTGGTGCGAAAATAAAATCTGCGTTGCACATGAAAAGGACTTGCCATTTTCTACTTGCTGTTTTTCCAACTTTCTTTGCAGACCCCGATTAAAAAAAACTAAATTTCACCAAATGAAACGGAACACAAATCCCGATGGTCGCATAGAAAAGATGATACAGTCATGATTTACCAGCAAAAGAAGAGAGCCACAGGAATGAAGTCTTTCTTTTTCGGCGTTAAGTTTCCTTTTGACCTCCTAGCAGAATCCAGGCAGAAAAAAACAGCCCGTCGCCCGGAATCGAAAGTGAAAGTCGAGCTGTAGCTGTAGCAAAACAGCTCTGGCCGACCGTCCCGCAGAAGTCGCACTTTTCCTCGTAGATGTGGAGAGAGACTGGGTGCGGTACCTGGCTTTTTTTTTTCGTAGCATTAAGTCACATATTAGCGAATTAAAATCAGTTGTTATGTTCTTCGGGGGTTTTATTATGTGGCGTTAATATGTGATTATGAGATTAAAGCGTTACCAAGTCCTGGTTGTATACGATCGCTGTGTCATCGTAAATGTGATACAGAATAGAGAATATAGTGCGTTTAGAGTCCTCTGGAAGTGTGAGGGCTACGCGTCGGCGTTTTGCAACTTTCTTCAAAGCCTTTTCATGCACATGATCTTTCCGAAGTCTGAACTCCACTAAGAGCAGTGTCCCGTTTAGAATAGCGGACTTTATCGCTGAGGTACATTGCGGTCGGTGTCGCCTGAGATTGTCCCTCTATAACAAATGGAGAATTCTCGCAACTGAAATTTAAAATCTGTGTTTTAAAAATATATATTTTTTTTTTCAAGGGTGGTTTTTTTGGTCACCGGCATTTTTTTTTTTGTTGAATTGGGCCGGAAAATGATTATTTGCATATGTTGTTGTCCTGAATATTAACGAAACAAAAACGAGGGATTGTATAATGATTTCGCGGAGCTGTATTCTTTGTGTGATCCTGTCGTCAGGATTTTATGACCATACAAGCTTGATAAAACATTCAGCATTAACCGTATTACAACTTCCTGCTGGTCTTTACAGCGGCAGGAGGACGAGGGGATTTCCGAGAAAACAGAACCGAAACGAAAGCGCCGCTCCGAGACAAGTACAGCTCCGAGGGGCTCGACCGGGCTGAGCCGAGAGATGGCCGAGCGCTACCTGTACCCTGTCTGGGTGGAAGGCGATTGGACTGGCATTCCCAATCTGAAAAACAAGCTCCAGATTTACTTTCAGAGTAAGAAGAAGTCCAGTGGAGGGGACTGCCAGGTGGATTGTGGAGACGTCGGGGAACGAAAGGCTGTCGTGTGGTTCAGAACTGAGGAAAGTAAGTACCGTCCACACATACAGTACATTTCTTTGGCGTAAATCACCTTTCTTAAATCTGTAAAGACCTACATTCTCAGGTGTTAGTGCGTCTTTCCGAGATGTCTGCATGTTGCTCAAAATGGTCAAATCGACCTATTAACTGCGTGTGGCCGATAAAGCTGTAGGAACAGCAAATAAAGTTCATGCAGAGGTAAGGATTTACCTTGTGATACACCAGACATGGGAGGGTTTTGCAAGTCACATTTCGATGCACGTTCGTGCTATTGTAAATTAAATATGTATAAATAAACGATATTCAAAATGAAAGTAATTTGCTTATTACAAATCTGTGATCAAATGTTATAATATAATACAGCAAAATATAACCTTAAGTAACAGTTATTACTTATTTTAAATATTGAGTATAAGAAATTATATCAATTATATCAGAGAGCTGGGTTTCATTCCACCTGTGCTTTTTATGACTTAACAGAAACAGATATTGTTTTTATTGGTCTTAACTAGTTCATTTTACATAACCTGCAGAGCTGCAGCTCTCAGGGATTAGGGATGAACTCCCAGACCAGCATGACTGAACACAGGAGTTACCAAACCTGGAGAGGACCTGCAAGACAGTTGCAGCTAATGAATATCTAATACACTTGTTGATTTTACTCCACTCCTTCCCTGAATCGCAACTAACCCAGACTGCATCACCAAAAGCTACAAAACTCAGACTCTTTGCTTGAGGCTTGTAAGTCAGCTCCAGACCTCTTTCTTGGGGTATGTCTGAAGATTCATCTCCAAAAAGCTGGTGTCTTTATCTCAGTCTGAGAGTCACATGTCCATAATCACAGCCTCAATAAGGAAGAATGAATGGAGTGTGGGGGAGTCCTGCTGGTGCAAGGCCATCCTGTGGTTAATTAGAACATACAGTAGTTCTGGAAGCAATACAAGAGCCCACAAATGGTGTTAGAAGTTAGAGTGTGTCAAAAACAAATGAGAGCACTAAAACCAATGTGCCATACTGTCCACTAACCTTGAGCCTTTGGAGAGAGTGGGCAGTGAAACCAGCAAGTCAGTAATTACTGGTTGTGAACAGCATTCTCTCCAATTTTCAGCCAGGCAGCGCATTCTTGAGAAGGGGAACCATGCGCTGAAGTTAGACAAAAGTGTGGTGAAGCTGACTGTCAGAAAACAGGAACAACCAGCTGAGAAAAGCCCAGAGCCAGTAAGTGATGTAGATTTGCAGGTGGTGGGGTGCTTATCGCGCATCACCCTCATTTTTCTGTGTTCTAAAGAGTCCTGAGTATAATATTCTACAGACGTATGAAAGGTTTACATTTACAAAAAAAAATCAAGACTTAAGCTAAATCATAAAGTACACAATGTGTCAACTACTCTGACATAAAATGGCACAAGCCTGAGAGAAAAAAAAGCACAATTAGCTGTTCAGTCAATATAATCTGGGAATAAAATGCAGATATTTTGTTTCTTATTTCAGATAAAAGAATCTTCTGGCACACATAAATGTAAGTATAAAGCATTTTAATGAAATGGACAACTGTAAAAGCATGATTGCGTTCAAACCCTGTTCTTTTAAAAAAAACGTGGAAACTGTCAGTGAGTGGGTATTGCTGTTGCTTCCTGGCTCCAAGGCCCTTGGTTTGACTGTGGCTCAGTCCGTGTGGAGGATGTGGCATGTAATCGTCTTGTTTGTGTGGGATTTGTCCCACAGTCCAAGGACATGCTGTTCAGTAATCAATTATTTGGCATCTCTGAATTGCTTTCTGCATGTGTGTGTGCCCTGGCGTCCTGTCCAGGGTGTGGTCATGCCTTGTGCCATGTGCTGGATGACACTCCCTTTGACCCTTTTCAGTTTCCCAAGGGCAAGAATAAGAGCTCCTGAAAATGAATGGTTGGTTTTCAAAATTATATTTTGCAGTTTTATATTGACTATTGTTTAACATGTGAATAGGCATCCGGCTCTGATACCTCCTGCCTTGCATGGGAAGAATAAGAATGTGTGAACACACTCCTCTGGTCCATCTCTCTTCATAGTCTTCATTAGAACATGAGATTGCAAAAGCTCTGAATAATTCTAAATTAAGATCTAGAATTATAATACCATAAGTGAACGCCATTGCATTTTTAGCCTCTTGATTGCAATACCTCTCTTGCAGCGTCTTCATCTTCTACTCTCAAAGATGCTCCAGAAGAATCCAGTGTTTCTTCCAAAGTTCAGGAAAAAAACACAGATCCAGATGAAGACATTCCAGAGACAGCCTCTTTGGTGCTGGAAAATGTTCAGGAGAAAATTAGCAAGGATTTTCTGGAGATGCTGGTGGAAAACATCGCAGATTGCTCTGCAGAGTCTGATTTCAGTTTAGAGATCATATATGATATAAATGCAGCAGTTGTGTCATTTAAAAACAGCAAAGGTAAGATTATGTGGAGGCGTGAAATGAAACATGCGTTACATATTGATAGAAAGTTATTTTTTTTCTGTTAAATCAGTTAAATCTGAGATTACACCTCTGTGGGCAGCTGGTATTTAGCTTCTTGCCTTTCAGTATATCACAAATCTCACTGGCATGAACAAAAATCATATTAAAAGATTTGGAGATCTTCCCTGTTTAAAATTCAGTGCATGTTATCTATAAGGCGTTTCTGTATTGCCTTCTGTGTGTGTAGGGGTGTGTGGATATGTGAGTGTGCACCCTAAGTTGGACTGTTCCATTTTCAGTGCAGTTGTCAACTTGCACTCTGTGTTTGCTGGGTCAGGCTCTGCCCCACCCCAACCCTCTGAGGATAAACTGGTACTGAAAATGGATGAAAAATTGATGAATGTTGAGTGACGAGAGACTGTGATTCCAATATACAATGAGTCAGTCATGGAGAAGAATCGCTTGTATTTGCAGATGTTCAGACCTTTCTTGCCAAGTGTGCCAAAAACAAGATGTTCAGACAGTGGAATTTAGTTGCCCGACCCCTTGAAGTCACCACAAGTGTGAAAGTGGAAAACATTCCTTCAGTTACCAAAGACTTTATGGAGCTGTACTTCGAACGAGAGGGAGAGGTGAAAGAGGTTCTGATGATGGATGGGGAGCAGTCAGCTATTGTAACCTTTTTGGACCACAGAGGTAATGCTTCTTAAAAACATGATGCATTATTAAATTATTTTTCATGTTCCTCCACCTGTTTCAGTAATTCAATATTTAATTGAAACCAGAAACCAACCCTTTCATCATAATTGTATATGTCTGTTTTTGTTCCAGTTGCTGAAAACGTAATAAGAAAAAGACATCAGATCAGTAAAGTGCCCATCAGTGTGTACCTGTATTATGAGTCCCTGGGCACGGCTTTATATGGCAAAGACAGACCAGTGTGGAAGCTGCCAGACCCCTTTACTGAAAGCATTGACCAGGCCCTGTGGAAGTTTCTTCATACAGGTCAGAAGCAGGTGACAGTCATCAGCAGTCAGATGGAGAAGCACTTCTGTGAGGTGGACTTGGGAAGCTCCACTGTCAGGATCAGCCCATTACCAGCCTTGCTGAAGCAAAAAGGTTTGACAGCCAAGCACATTGATGCTTGGAAAGAGAATGCTTCCGCTGCCTTCCGCAATACCATGTCCAAGTACAGTTCCTTTGAATATCCTGTGAATCCCTTAGTGTGGAGTGAATCTGAGAAGGAAATCCGCAGAGCAGTGACACAGGCAGCAATCTTGGAGCCTGACATGGCTAAGAAGTCTGTAGCTGTAGCAGGCTTGTCCGAAGATGCTAACAGACTGAAAGAGATGCTGGTGGAAATTGTGGAGAGAAACTCTAAGAAGCTTGAAAGGGAGAAAAACAGCATAACAGAGCAGGTTGATTTGGAGCCTGGCATGTATTACATCCTGCAGCAAGAGAGACTTCAGGAGACAACAGCTGCCGAGTATCCAGAACTGAAGCTCACCTACAAACCTGATGTCAGGAAGCTCATTCTTTCTGGATTGGCCTCAGAAGTGTTCAGTGTAAAGAGCAAGATTCTGGAAGCAGTTTTGCATATGAAACACAAGCAGGTGGAGATTGACCCCAATATTTTCAGCTTTCTCAGTGAAGTAGACAACAAGGAGCTGTCCTACTCCATCTTCACTTCACGGGGCATCAGTGCTGTTTACAAAATGGAAGATGGGTGCGTGGAGATTATAGGAAACAGTGACAAGGCCCTGACTGAAGCAGCAAAGCAGCTGCAGGCAGTTCTGGGTTTTCAGCACATACATGTAGAAGACAGAGATGTGCTGAGGAAACCAGAGTGGCTGAAGTTGGTTAATTACCTAAAGTCGGCTTTCAACTCGCCAGAAAAGACAGTATCAATAAGACGAACAGAGATAAAGGGAGCACAAGACCAGATAGTCGTTTCTGGCTTTTGTGATCCGATCAATCAAGTGAGCAAGCAGCTTTCTGATTTTCTGAACAAAAACACACATGCTGTTGAAACAGTACACTTCAAGTCAAAAGCAATGCTCAAATTCATCCAAGATACAAAAAGCACTTCATGGACTGAGAAGATAAATGGAGAGATACATGTTAAATTTGATGAGACCAAGAAACCAAGCATCGTATTGAGTGGTCCAAGGCTTTTTGTCATGGAAGCCAAAGACTTATTTGGCAACTTAATCAAATCAGTGTATTTTGATGTTTTGAAGGTCAGCAAACCAGGGGCAAAGACATTTTTCAGTGATCAGGAGGACTTATATGTATCTATGGCACTGAGAGAGCTGAAATGTGTGGTGAAGCTTGATGATGAAGACTCATTAGAGGAAGATGAGCCCACTCAGTCTGTTTATGAAGTGCAGACAAGTGACGGTGTGACAGTTACAGTCTGTAAAGCTGATATATGTCAGTATCCTGCAGATGCTGTGGTCAATGCCTCCAATGAGAATCTGCAGCACATTGGAGGTTTGGCTTTAGCTCTCCTCAAGGCAGCTGGTCATCAGCTGCAGGACCTCTGTGACCAGCACATCAGAAGAAACGGACCCCTGAAGCCAGGAGATGCTGTTATCACGGATGCTGGCCGTCTCCCTTGTAGACACGTCATTCATGCTGTTGGGCCTCGGTTTGGTGATACAGACTCTAGAAGAGCAGTTTGTCTTCTCAAAAGGGCTGTGAAAGAAAGCCTGAGACTGGCTGAGACACACAACTGCTCATCTATAGCCATCCCAGCCATCAGCTCCGGCATCTTCGGCTTTCCTCTGGACCTGTGTGCAGAAACGATTGCTCGGTCCATGAGGGAGCACTGTCAGGACTTCTACGGGGAGAACACGCTGAGGAAGATCCACCTGGTGAATAACGATGACAAAACAGTGCAGGCCATGACAGCTGCTGTGCAGAAGGAGTTTGCTGATGAGACCCCACAGCTGAGGAGCCTGCCAGCCAAACCTGCTGAGGAACACAGACGATTCAGGGGAGGTGAGAGAAGTGTAGAAGTCGAGAGCAGAGGAAGTATGGAAACTGTCCAGACGAAGGAGGGACTTGCCATCACCCTCAGGAAAGGGAACATCCAGGAGGCATCGGTGAGTAGTTTGGTAATAAAGGAGAAAAGAAAAATATTGTATGCATATAACAGATCCAGCTGTAAAGCATTGACATTATTGAAGTGACATAGCACAAAGATTGTAGCACTGTACTTGTGAAATGTGTTCCTGTAATGAGCAATTTTTAGTAAACATTTTCCATTGTCCAGAGATCATCCAATAAATTTGATAGTTTTGAGGATTCAGAAAAATAAAGTGAAAGTCTATTTGAATATATATGTACACAGTAACCTTAAAATACCCTGTTGATTATCATGTATATTGTTGAAAGGTGAGGACAGTGGATGTTTCTGAAGACTGACTGCAGAACAGAGATACTAAAATCATGTTAGTTTGAATACTTGTACTCAAAAGCCGTATAGAAACAATGAAAAATCAACATAAAGAAGGTGCTTTTTTCAGCCTGGCAGTGTAAGGCATTCTTTTCAAACTCACCTGCTTTCTCTGCGTGCCTGGTGCTGGCAGACTGATGTCACTGTGAACACCATCGCTGAGGACTTGACCCTGGACAGCGGTGCAGTGTCCAAGGCGATCCTCCGGGCAGCTGGGCCAGATCTCCAGAATCTGGTCTATGAGGCAGCGTCGGCAGGCTCTGCAGGGGAGGGGGCTGTACTGGTCACTGATGGCTGCAATCTGAGGAGCAACAAGGTCTTCCACGTCATCGCTCCTTACTGGGACAAAGGCAAAGGGACTGCAGAGAAGGTAAATATCATGTCGCTTGTTCTACAGCTCAGCTTGATTCACTTCTTTAAGTTCCCTTTATTCACCTATTAAAGTGATCTGAAAATCCATTTGCAAATAGACTGTCAAATAAGTTACTAAATAAAATGCTAAAACCATTTTGTCTGCAGATACTATGCAGAAACTGTGTATACCATATAGGGTAGTGAGTAACAAAAAAGCTGTTGTCCCTCCCAAATTTTAGTTCAAATGCATTCCGGTTCCTCTTCTACAAAGACCATGCAGGTGAATGTCACTCTTTTCACAGGTGTTTGAAGGTATCATTAAGGAATGCCTAAAGAAATCTGAGCAACTGAAGCAGAGATCCATGTCCTTCCCAGCCATTGGCACAGGCAATCTGGGATTCCCAAAGCCCCTGGTGGCCTCAGTGATGATGGAACAGGTTCTGTTGTTCAGCAGCAAATCCAAGCCCAAATATCTCCAGGAAGTTGCTTTTCTTTTACACCCCAGTGACACACAGACTGTTCAGGTAAGGAACAGTTACTTTGCCTTCCATTCTGGTTACAGAGTGAAAGAGTGTTTTCTCTGTGAGGACCCTCATCTGCAACATTGGGAGTAGACATCCCTCCAGTTAACAAGTTCTTCACTGGCCTAGAGGTTTGGCTGCATGCAGACACATTTATGCTCTGATGTTTTTGTTTTTCTCTCCATTGCCAGGCCTTCACAGATGAGTTCAGTAAGAGGTTTAAGAGCCAGACAGCTAAAGTGAAAAACTCTGGGTCATCGTCTGAATCTGCATCAGCAGAGCTTGGAAAAGGTGCTTCCTTATTATGTTGTAGATAAATGTTCAGGAGTAAAAAAGAAAATGGGAGAATGCATTTAGGAATATTTTTTGAGAAGCCAGGCATAAGACCTGGATCCGCTTGGCTGAGGAGCAGCCCCCAGGCCATAGGACCCCCCGCAGTAAGAGGAACTAACCAAGGGGCAGCTACCCAGTGGGAGAAGGGCTGGGGGAGGGATACAGAAAGAATGTGAGAAAGAGGGAGGGGCTCATTGTGGGATTTATAACTTTTCAGGAATTGACATCAAGAAGGTTTATGATTTAGAACATTACAATTAAAGGTGGACTTGGTTGCTGTCACCCCTCCCAAACTTTCCTTAAAAACGAACCTTTCAATAAAAACTCCATCTGTTACCTGCATTTTGATGAAACTGTGGTTTGGCTGGTGCTCTGGATCAGCCCATGTTCATTTTCTTAAAATGTGTAATATATGTCTGTGTATGTGTAAGCAATTAGGTTGCATGGGAAGATGTTCAAAGAATGTTCTCTGAGAGAGGAATGGAAGGGCATTGACTGAGGTGAACAGCATGTGCAGTTGAAGAACAGTGGGTTATTGTTCTGGATTGCATAATATTTAGGATAATTAGTGCATTCTTGTTGATTATCTAACCTCATCTTAATGAAATGATCTTAAATATATGTTACTGTATATGTTTGCCATGCAACTAGAATACAATCAGTTGTTCTCTGAGAATTCAATGTAATCTAAATGCAGAGGTAATTTTGCACATTCATTCTGTTTAAGCAGAATTTCATGACTTCTGTATCTGCTCCCTATCAGGTTTTTTTGGCAAAGTCACTTCACCGAATCTAGGAGTGCATGAGATGAACATTGGACAGATACTGTTGCAGATCATCACTGGAGATATAACAAAAGAGACAACTGATGTCATTGTGAACTCCTCCAACAATACCTTCTCCCTCAAACAAGGTCGGTCAAACTCTCATTGAATTGAATACTTACTGATTTTACATACACATATTGAGTACTTTAACTCTTGGTAAAAATAACACATCCTAGAAGCCCTGTCTTGGACTGTACATAAATATATTTGCCAACTTTATTGTAGATTTATCTTTGTCAATTTGATTCTTGTACTTGGTCAGAGAAGGATTCAAAGCTAGTCTTGGGATCAACAAAATAATTTATCTCACATGCATATTAGAAATGTTACCTGTATTATAGGGTTCAGTACAGTAAACCCTTGGTTTAATAGACTTCGCATTAATGGGCTTTGGATTTAATGGACAAAATCTGCTGAAGGGGAAAGTTGCCTGTCAGATCAGAAATACCAGACTTTCCCTGCAATAAGACAGAAATGCAAAAAAAATAAAACAGGGTAAAAAATATTACAGAAGTTTACAGTTCGGGAATATGAATGGTGCTCTATAGGGTAATGTCACTTGTTTATGATGGTTGTTTGTGTTTTGTATGTTTTAGCACAATTTGTACAATCTAAGACACATGAAATAAAAAGCTTATGTATTTATTGTGTATTTATGATAAAAAGGCACAAGAACATTTCTTGTTGACTGTGTTGATTATAATTGTTAAAAAATAAGTCAAATAGAACCCAGAAAGCATATATATATATATTTCTCATATAATATTGTGATTGTGGGCTGAAAAACATAATTTAACAAACATCTGGCAATAAAGTATACTCCTTCCCCCCTTAGTCTAACTGAGGGTTTACTGTTTTAGAGATAATAATCAGATGTGTTTTGATTCTGACATGATTATAACTGTAAATGGCAGAGCTGTTAGGGAATTTGCTTAGTTCTATGAATCATTAAAAAGTGCCAGGACTGACCAAGAAGTGAAGGTAAGCAAAAATCTAAAAGTGTGACTAAAGGAAATACATACTTGACAGCATCGGCCCAATTCAATTGTCGGTCTAGTGTATTAATAACCAAGTCGGTTGAGAAATGACAGAGACTTTAAACGTCACTGCAGTGCAGGTTGAAGGGTCTTTCTCTCCTAAATCACATAGCAGGTCTGTAGTACTCAGACTGGAGGGTAAAGGGTTAAAGCCCTAGTATGTGAAATTGATTCAATAATGACAAAAAATGCTTCAAAGTGTAGCTTTCATGTCATTTAGGGTCCCATCAATGATCCTAAATCAGCTGTTATTTAACCCTGTAAATTATTTCAATCCCTTTCAGGTGTTTCAAAGGCAATTTTAGAGGCAGCCGGACAAGCAGTAGAGACAGAGTGCCAGCAGCTGAGTAAGTCCTGTGTTTTGTTATCTGCTTTTCTTATAAAATCTTTATACTTTTTTCAGTGCTGAGGCTGTAATGATCAAGAAGCTTAAGCTTACGTATAAAAACCTGTCTAACACAACAGAGACTGATGAGCAGGCATCATAGACTAAATCATGCAGTAAAAGAATTGCACTGTGAGATGTTAGACATGCAAACTTGGTGAGGTGTCTAAAATCGAAAAGTTAGGCATAACAGTGACATAACAGTATATTAGCTTGAATTGTGCCATCGGTGTGTTTATAGATGTAAAGGATCAGGAATCTCTTACAGAAACCCTGTACAGTAAGTACTCTGTCCATTACTCTAGGTGCACAGCCCAACAAAGGATTGATAATGACCCAAGCAGGCAATCTGAAGAGCAAGAAAATCATTCACATCGCAACACAAACTGATCCAGAAAAAATCTGCCAGTCTGTCAAAGCAGTTTTGCAGATGTGTGAAGAAAACAACTTTACATCTGTATCGCTTCCTGCTCTTGGGACAGGTAAGGTAAAATAAATAACTAAAGTCAAAAGAGATGTTTACTTAACAAACAGATCATTTTAAAAAAGGTGATTATGATGTGGTTTGTTTGGGCACTACGAAGTAAAACATTAACTTCTTATGACTTTCACCTGCCATGACTGACTCATTAACCTCCTCTTCTTAATATCTTTATAATCACCACCTATTTCTATGATACACCGCATACTGGAGAGAACAAGAAGGTGTGGGCAGACTTCTCTATCCCACCTTTCTTCCAGCCACTTGTCTTTTAACACACGAGAGGCATCACAGCCACTTGCAGGGGGTACAATGCTGAGGAGAGGCACATCCCTCTACATTAGCACTGCGTACCTTCAGGCTCCCAGGTGGCCACAGCGGTTGTTGTGTTGCTGAGAGGGAGAGCCCTGGCTGACTATTCCTTCGATACTGCCTGTGGCACTTGGTTTGGGGAATCTCAGTTGCAGCTGGCTAGTTACATGGCCCATGCTCGAACCTGTGATCATAGAGGTCAGCCTGCACTCAGACAAGCACTTTCACTGGTTAAGTTCATCTGGAAGCCCCCTGATATCTTTACTATGTTGTTCTGTCATCGTCTAAACATCTTCCATTTTTTGCCTTGATTCATTTGAAAATGTTTTCCTACAAATGTCACACTGTCTTACGTTTCCCCCTAGCAGAGGTAATGGTCCTTTTATCAAAATGATTTCTCTCACAGGGCAGGGTGGTGCCAGTCCTTCTGTGATTGCAGACACAATGCTGGATGCTGTAGTGGACATTGTCAGCCAGAAATCTGCGCTTTCACTCCAAACCGTTCGAGTGGTCATCTTCCAGCCACAGATGCTGACAGAGTTTTATAAAAGCATGCAGAAAAGAGAAGGAACAGTCCCACCTGAGAAGGGATCAGTCTGGTCGAAACTAAAATGTAAGCTTTCATTTCTGACTCTGTTTGCAAACACATACTAATTTTTTCTCGGTCCATAAACTTATAATTTCTTTCACTGAAATGAGTAGATTGTGTGCGTTTTCCTGTTGAAAAAATGGATTTGCTTGTTTTTCACCCCTTAAAACACATAAAGCATGGCCTCCAAAGTCAAAGATTTGCTAGTGATCACAAGAACCAACAACTATGCCTTAAGAGCAATCAAAAGGCACAACAGTATTGAGAAATCTTTGAGGCAGTGGAATGAGTTACAAAACAGGGGAACTACATAGGCAAGTGATGAAGTCCAAAAACAATTTTACTTATCTTGTTTTATTTTTTTGTTTTTGTTTTATATTTAATTTTTTTTGTTTTGAAACATGCTGACATGATTATCTGTATTTACAGCTTTTATTTGGGGAGGTAATGGGAAAGAGGAAAAACAAATGGAGGAGATTATCATCGAGGGAGAAAAGATCAAGCCAGCAATTTTCCACATCTGTGGAGAAACAAAAAGTAGTGTAGAAAAAGCTAAGAAGTGGGTGGAAGATCTGATCATCAAGGAGCAGAATGAGATGACCATTGCGGACGAATATATCTACAGCTTCACTCCACAGGAGCACGAGAGGATCATCAACCTTCAGAGGAAGCTGCAGGTCAGCGTGAAACTGGAGTGCACTGCCACCCAGGCCTACGTCAAGGTGGAAGGCCTCAGCAGAGACGTGCTGAAGGCTGTCACTGAAGTCCAGGACATGATCAAGAAGATCCGCGATGAGGAGACCTTGAAACGAGAGGCAGAACTGGCCAGCAACCTGGTGGAGTGGCAGTACGAGGATGGGAATAAATTTCTCCGCTTTGACAACCTCACCAACCTCAGGCTGGAACAGGCTTTTGCCAACAAGGTGCCCGATGTCTCCATCACTATACAGGAGGAAGAATACAAGGTGTTCTTGCCCGATGGCCCAGCAGTGGGCTTTCAGGACGTCACCTTAAAAATAAGAAGAATCAATAAGACTGAAGGTAGGTTTGTTGGAACAAAGTTTTTTCCTGAGCCTGAGAAAGAAAAAAAAATAATGTTTCTCTGTGATGCAGGTTGTTTTTATTAAGTTTAAAATGAGCAATAATATAATTTTAAAATTATTAAAATGTATTTTTAATGGTGTGTATGGTGTAAGGAGGGATAAAATCTGTTTGGATTTGACTTCACAGCCAAACATTTGAATGACCTTCCACAACACTGGGATTCCATGGCTGGAGTTAAGGGAGCCCTGACTGTGGTCTTACAAGCAGGAACGCCTGAGTACAAAGAAGTAGAAGACTTATTTAAAGCAACCTGTGCGAAAAACAGTGTTTTAAAGGTATTTCTCTAGTTTTTATTTGATCAGCTGGATATAATCATTTCATGTATGAAGGTTTACAATAAATCTGTGCATTAAAAACTTCATACTGTGTGGAAAACTTTACAAGGTCACTAGAGCTTACTGAAATGTCAGTCTATTTAATGTTTCCTTATTACAGATTGAAAGAATCCAGAATGTCACCCTGTGGAAAAACTACCAGATCCGGAAGCAAGAGTTGGACGACAAGAATGGGCACCAGAACAATGAAAAGCGCCTGTTCCACGGAACCAGTGAACCCACCATTAAAACCATTAACGCCTATGGCTTTAACCGCAGCTTCGCTGGCAAGAACGGTATGGAGACAGAATTGATTGATTTGCGTTCTTTAGTCAAAAGTCTCGTCTGTGATTTGGTATCTGTGAATCAGTGTTGATTTAAAAAGCAGTTCTGCCTTGGAATTATTGGGACTTAAAGAAAATGCTGGATGCAGTTTTAGTTCTGGTCAATTGTTTTTTCTTCTGTTTTTGTCACAAAAACAATCTTATGGGTTGTTCTAGGTGTTACACCTGTGTCTCCCTGTCAATAGTACAGGAAGCCAGTTAATATTTTTCAGGGAATATAGTAACTATAAACCTGCAAGTGTTTAGACTTATGTCTCCTATCCTGATCCACTAAGTGGTTTGAGCAGGATATTGCTTCATCTCTTTTTTATTTGTGGGTTTGTTTTACATCCATGTTGGGAGAGTCAATACCTGAGGCTTTATCTTCTGTGGATTGGAGCAGATCTTGACAACTAACAAGGGCTGCTTCTGTCATTAAGAAGTTACAGGAGGTCTCAGTTTAGATCTATTTTTAATTGAAGCATTGAGGTGTTCCTGATTTCTGATCAATTATCTCTCTTACAGCTGCTTGCTATGGAAATGGAACGTATTTTGCAGTCAATGCAAACTACTCAGCCCAGAATACCTACTCTGTGCCAGACGCACTGGGGCAGAAGTACATGTACCTGGTCAAGGTCCTTACTGGTGATTTCACCAATGGAAGACAAGGAATGATCGTTCCTCCATCCAAGAACAACTCAACCATTGATCTGTACGACAGCGTAACTGACAATGCGGGAAAGCCCACCATGTTTGTTATATTCAATGACATCGGGGCCTACCCTGAATACCTGATCACTTTCCGATAATAGCCATTGTGGAAGACATATGGTAAAAATTACACTTTGTGGTATAAATGTGACCATAGCTGGCACTTCAGAGCAAATGTCCTTTCCTGAAGGTGAGAAGAAAGAAGTTTACAGTTTGTTTTTCTTTTTAAAGTTATTATGGGCTAAACATATATAGTATTAGTTTCTGACATCACTGTCCTTGAAATCAAAATTCTCTTTCTGTTCTCTGATACGGTATTATGCAATATAATAAAACCATGTGGCAGTCAAACCAGAAGAGAGTGAAACAGACACGGGGGGAGACGACGAGGAACTCGGCAGGCAGACGAACAGGGGAGTGTGACGACTGTGCACTGGTGCTCGGGGGGGGGCGTGGTCCTGGCGTACAAGTCCAAGGGAGTCCAAAGGGAAATCTAGGGTGTTGTCCAAAAGTCCAGAGCCGGAAAATCCAAACGAGACAAAGACAAGACAAGGTTTAAAAACCGGAGCGGGGTCCGGTTCAGGGACGGGGAATAAAATAGGGTTATGGGGCCAGGCGCTCCCAGCCCCAGACCTAGACCTAGATGGTCAGGATGCCATGGTGAAGCCTGTGCCATCTGGTCTCACTGAGCCCAGAATGGTAGGAGCGTCTGGTTTAAATAGGGAGGGGCTGAAAAGGAGGCAGGTGCACATAATCAAGTAAAACAGGAAACAGCTGGAGCGCCCTTAAGAGGAGGGATTTACCATCGTGACAGTGGAAGCCCCCATAGACATAAATGTTAATCACAAAAGAACAAAACTCCTGCATTTCAATCTGGATGAAGCAGGAGTTAATTCCCTGCTGGACAGTAAAAAGATGAAAAAACACAACTTGTGGCTGCTCAAGTGTGTGTTGCAGAATGGGGGAGAGGAAAACGTAATGCAGAGATGAGGTAAATAGTTCCACATGAAAGAATTCTGCTGCTTCCCTGACAATAATGAATATGGATATGCTGCTGTCTGTGTTAATATCTTCCTGGTATTTCTTTTTGGTGGTAAAAGGATTGTTAAAAGTTGAAATTAGTATGAAAATTGTCAAAATAAAAGTTACAATCCAGGTCCTCCTCTGCCTCTTTTAGTGTTTCTAAACTGTAACCTTGGTGTTGGGGTGTGTGTTGGAGCAAGTATTACTGTATGATTATTTGGGGTTCAAATTTTGAAAAATATTTGAAAATATGAATAAAAACATTTATTCAGGACAAATGACAAGGACAAAGGGAAGGGATCCTCCTTCAGTGTCATTGACATTTTTTATCATTCAAAGGGTATCTTTTTTTTTTTCCATCTACATGTGCAAAAATATTTGTTTTGCACCTATTTGGATCCTGTGCTGAGTTTCACTTGAGTTTGGAATCAGAACTAAAACTTGAAAACGCCAAGCAGCTTTGAAAGCTTAAAAGCCGATCCCACACAATAACAGTGTGAGTGAATTGCTAGCAAACTAAGACAAAACTAGAATGGTGTCTCCAATGGTTAGAGGTCACTGCCCAGTCTTTGAAGAAGGACAGCTAATGTTACAGAATATATTGTGATAAGAACTAGTTCCCACTTTGTAGGCATATACTGTATATACAGTATATATCTGCAACTTCATGCACATTTTAATAAACTGTGGACTTGCCATTCTGTACTTTGGAGAAGCACATCCTTCTGTACCACAAACTGCCCCTGTGCAAAGCCTGTTTGGCCAGTGACCTCTAACCATTGAAGATACCATTCTAGTTCTGTAGTGATTTTAGCTAGTAAAGAATAATTACTAGCCAGTAATTACAAACTTGGTAGGTATTGATCTAGTGACAACATGGTTAACCTGTGGTGATATTCTGTGAAACACAGAAGCTGCCCGAGTACCACTTTCTTCTTACAAATTAAAACTATGCTTGTCTTGGGAACCATGGGGATTCATCACGTCCAGATTTGATTTAAGACTACACTTGATTTCAAAATCCTCTCTGGCTCGTCACCTACCTGGCACAACACACTCCTTAATGCTACCTGCTCAGAAAGCGGTTGGTCAATGAATGGTAGGTGTCATTTTAAACTGACTACGCAGTTACAATTAGGATATAAGCAATGACGGTTGATTGAGTGCCATTTTGTTCTCTTGTGATAGGCAACTCCGTCTACAAAAACTGTTTAGCCAATCATCTGTAAACATGGTGGGTATCACTCTAACTGAAAACATCATTTACATGGGTCGAAACATCCTGCTTAAATCAAGATGGCTGCCTGATCAAAAGACTTTGCTCTCATAAACTTAACTACCGCTGTCATAGAAACCTCTTAACTGACTTTAAACCTGCTTCGGCTACATGTTGCGCAACACTTTTCATCTCGGCCACGGAGCTTTTATCGAGTCAAGATTATCTTTCTAGTTCGCTTTAATGTACTCAGTTGACTCACCCAGGTGAAGCCAGCAGGCGAGGACTTCGCTCGTGTGACGCACACAGCGAAAACTACTGTAATTATTAAAAATATAACGCTCATTTTCTATACATTTGTTTAACTTTTTCTGTTCGTCCACCGCTATTTGAGTTATCAGTTAACTGCGCGAGCGATGCCGCTTTCACTCCGAGCGCGTGAAATTTTGTTTTTTTTTTTTAAAAAAGGACATAACGGTCGATCTCGCCAAGTGATGAAGTCCAACAGTTTCAATAGAGTCAATCTTCGTATTTTTTACAGAAAAGTGTGTTGCCCCACAATGAATAAAACTCTTTATTCCTGAAATGAGACACTTGGAAGCCTTTAAAGCTGCTTGTCATTCCCTTTTATTTTTAAAGTTTAAAGACCGTTTTACTGATTTCCGAGTCCGTGTGACTCATTTTGTCTAGAAAAAGCATTGAATGCTGCTCGTCAACGGTACTGGACACAAGTAAAAGCGGGTTGTAAAGTAACGAGTCGAAAAACGGATCACGCCCCTCGGTCTTTGCAGCTAGATGAGGTAAACAGATTCCTCGTCTCGGCCCTAAAAGTTGCTGAAGTGAAACAAAAGTGAAACTTAAAAACCAAGCCGAATGGGAAGCCGGGAGTGAACCAGGGCATTGCTGGCGGAGACATGGAGGACTCCTACTCGTACCCCCTTATAGTGGAGGGCGACTGGGGCGCAGATCTGTCCAAAGTCATTAAAAACAAGCTGCAGATTTATTTCCAGAGTAAGAAGAAGTCCGGCGGGGGTGACTGTCAGGTGGAGTACGAGGATTTGCAGAGACCGAGGGCGACGGTGTGGTTCAAGTCTCAGGACAGTAAGTGCCAGTTAAGAGGATCTGATCAGTGAGACTGCCTTGTGGTGATTTAGTTGTAACCTCCTCTTCTGAAGCTGCTCAAAAGAGGCCGTCGTTGAGTGTTAACGTGAATCGGGGGGATACACTTACTCAGAAAAATAAATTGCGTGGCCGAAATAAGTAACGTGGGCAAGCTACCTTATGCCATTCCAGTTTTAGACACCGGAGATGTCCCAGATAGAGGTTTTGCGTTTCAGGTTTTCCCGGAATGGTAATTGTGTTTTTCAAGATTAAAAATATATATATATATTACTCCAACATCGTTAGGAGTTTGTCATTTGCCATTTGTAATTCTGTTTCAGGTTTATACTATGTAAACGGAGTCGCACGGATTCCTTTTCACACCTAACGTTCAAATCTGTTTCTCTCCTCCGTGTGGGGTGAGGCAGGGAAGGTTTAACACGGGCCTGCATTATTGCTTTTATTATCTGGTAGTGCAGACCGAGGGTGAAGAAGCAACAGTTATTACAAGTTTCAGAGGTTGCCTATATACTGTAGGCTTTCTGGGGTGAGGTGCTGGGCTGCCTGGCCTATAGCCAGTATGAAATGTATAAAAGCCTGCTGCTCTGCACCAGGAAATTCGCTTAGGCTACACCTGCAGTGTCACTGCCACGCCTGGATCTTGGATAAGGGGATGATATTGAGGCAAAATGTGTTTTGCATCATGCATGTCATTAATTTCATATTGAATTGTGACATTTTCTTCATTTGGTTAAATCTGTACTGCACTGAAAGAAATAAGCATGCCAAACAGTGAAAGTTGCTGTGCAATGTAATGAAAATTGTGCTATTATTTTATTGCTTATTTATTTTTTTCTTGTGATAACATTTCAATAATTAAAATAATTGTTCTTGTTAGAGAATTGAATGTCACTTTCATAATGTTTCTTTGATGGATTAATTTATTATAAAAGTTGAACTATGGTAGGACACTTGATAAGACTGCAGAGGTACACCAAGGAAACAGTTCATTATATTCAACAAGGACAGTTGTTGACCATATCCCTTTACAGGCCACAATGGCAAGAAAGCATAAACACCTTTATGTTGTGTCCTGGGTGACAGGAGTATGCACTGAAATCATGATCCAGCAGTACTGCTTCGTCCCTTTGTTATCACAGGAAGAGATCACCTGACTTGAGAGCCTGATATACATTATTTTGACAAACAAGATTTACACTTCATCTATACTCTGCTGTATATTGCAATATAGTGCTTGGAATAACTATGTACTGTAGTTCTATAGTACATTTTTGAACTATCTAGATTGACCTCTGCAATCAAGAGGCATCAGTCACACTTAATTTAGCACTTAACTCCACTCCGGCATCTGTGAGTGGGCACTGGACAGGGATCTTCTGTCTTGCATACCTCTACAGGTGTCTGATCTACTCAACTCACGCAGCACCAAAAGACACAGGAGATCTGAGAGTAACATCACTGCAACAGCTCTCATCTTACACCACAAACCTTGTATTACACTATGAAAGGCACAAAATCGTGTCATTTCCTGAGCATCTTCAACTATCAATGTACTCGATCCAAAAATATTATTTCACTAAAGGGAAATGTTGTCTTTTCATGCAGAAGAGTGAAGGTGAAAAGACACCTCTCTGCTCTCTCACACTGTTTTGGTTGGCTGCTTGTTTTCAGTCAGGGACAGAGCCCTGGAGAGAGGAAGCCATGAGCTGGTTATTGAAGGCCAGAAAGTGACACTGACTGTCAGACTGAAGGAGGAAACAGAAGAGGCGACACCTCCTGTCGAAGGCCCTGCCACCGTGAGTTAATTTATCATCACAGTACAGATACTGCAGCTAAGGGCTGAGGAAGAATACAATCACACTCTTTTTAAATGCTCTTATGCAGAACTACTTTGCAGAACATTGTTAATAACTAAGGGTGGCCATAGCATGACCTTGACAGTTTGTCTTCAGTGTTTACTGCTGTGCTCTCCCATCAGCCTTTACCAGGCCTGGACACATAAGCTGTAAAGTGTGTGCTGGGGAAAAGTTTAAGCATTTAAATTGCAGAATTTTGCACCTGTATGATGGATTCAAGTCCGGTTCAGATTAAATGTGACTATTTCTTTTGAACTTTTTTTCAGGAGAAAGAGTCTGGTAAACTTCAGGAGCCAGGTAATGTACTGTGAGTGAATACCATATGTAATGGGCATTAAGTGCCTTCTCTAAAGCGCTATGATTGCGTGTGTGGTAATTAATATTCATATCCATACTTTTTTGCAGCCGGATGCTCCTAAAATGCCACCATTAGCTAGGAGGCTGTTGTAAGGATGTGTTTATGCAATGCAACACCATAACTCATCTCTCATGCCAGTAAAGCTCTTTGACTTGGGTCATAGCTGCCTTATTCTCGGGTCACAGCTGGATCAGAGGACCACAGCACTCACAGCTTTTGGGTCTTGGATTCGTTTCTGGGAAGAAAATCTCTGTGTGCACTTTGCAGATTTGCAAATTTGTATTTGCTTGGGCTTGCTGTGGCTGCTCTCTTTTTTTTCAAACCTCCTAAGAACTTGTGGGTAGGTAATAGTGTCTATTGAGCCTATGCTTCTGGGATACGTTCCAGGTTGCTGTATCCCTTATAAGGAATATGCAGCTTTCCAATAATGAATGGATGATTAGAGAGATTTCTCCTGTTAGGTAAGGCTAATAAAAGCATGTGGCTGTGTGTATGGACAGATATATTTTAGCAAGAAGATGTTAAGTCTGAACAGTACGCAACTTTAGTAATTTTTGAGACAACTCCTTTTGAGTGATGATTTAATTAATGAGAAGGGAAGCTATGATTACTATTTTCTAAAGAACATTTTTAAATATTTTTCTATATAAATATTTAATAATATTCTGGATTATATTTCAGGACTGGATAATGCCAACCAGGACGCAGGAGGGGAACAGAGTCTACAGACCTGTTCCGTTGTGCTGGAGAATGTGCAGGAAAAACTTACAAGGGAAGTCCTGGGAATGATGGTGGAGAACATTTGCAATTTATCAGAAGAGAACAGGGACTTCACTCTGGAAATGATGTGTGACATCAAAAAGGCTGTCATATCCTTCACAAACAGGAATGGTATGAGTCAAGGCATTCTGACATGGGGATGCGCTTTATCATATTGAGTATATTCCTTAGCTCTGCATTAACATTTCTTATGTACTTATTTGAGCATGTAGTAACAATTTTCCAGTTATTCCATTTCTTCTGATTTAAACAATGTCGGTTACGTTACATTGTAAAGGAACAAGTAAAGGTTTATTCCAGGCTGAAAAGAGAAGAAAAGAAACACAACGTTTTGGCTGTGGAGCTTTTTTTGGACCACACACCCGAAGAAGGCTCCACATCCGAAACGTTGTGTTTCTTTTCTTCTCTTTTCAGCATGGAATAAACCTGTACTTGTTCCTTTGCAGCCTACGCATGCTGACGCAGCTCCCTGCTTGAGCTACATAGGTTACATTGTAGTTTGTTTATAAACTTCAACATTCATATTTAATGTTAAAGTGGGACGTCGGTGCCTAATACACGTTGAAGGAAAAACATTCCCTTAGCAGCTTGTTTTGAGTGCATCACAACCAAACACCTATCATACTCTGAAAGCAAGTCCTTTGCTCTTTCCAGATGTGGGTCATTTCCTCAAAGAGTGCATGAAGAACAAACGGTTTTGCCAGAACAATCTGCGAGCCCAGCCGCTGGAGCCCAGCAGGAGTGTGAGAGTGGAGAACCTGCCCAGGCATGTCACCGAGGACCTCCTGGAGCTGTACTTCGAGAAGGAGAAGAATGGAGGGGGGGCTGTGGACTGCGTTGCGGTGCTGCCCGAGGAGCAGTCAGCCATTGTCACCTTCCAGGACCCTACAGGTAAAACCAAAGACTCACCCTTTTCCCCTATCTTTTGAGTGAGTATGCTTATGTTTATGTTTATTCTAGATGACCTTTATTCGATTCAATTGTTGTATTTCTGTAAATCTGCCTTTCTGTTCCAGTTGCTGAAAACGTAATAAGAAACAGACATCAGATCAGTAAAGTGCCCGTCAGTGTGTACCTGTATTATGAGTCCCTGGGCACGGCTTTATATGGCAAAGACAGACCAGTGTGGAAGCTGCCAGACCCCTTTACTGAAAGCATTGACCCGGCCCTGTGGAAGTTTCTTCATACAGGTCAGAAGCAGGTGACAGTCATCAGCAGTCAGATGGAGAAGCACTTCTGTGAGGTGGACCTGAGAAGCCCCACTGTGAGGATCAGCCCATTATCAGCCTTGCTGAAGCAAAAAGGTTTGACAGCCAAGCACATTGATGCTTGGAAAGAGAATGCTTCCGCTGCCTTCCGCAATACCATGTCCAAGTACAGTTCCTTTGAATATCCTGTGAATCCCTCAGTGTGGAGTGAATCTGAGAAGGAAATCCGCAGAGCAGTGACACAGGCAGCAATCTTGGAGCCTGACATGACTAAAGAGTCTGTAGCTGTAGCAGGCTTGTCTGAAGATGCTAACAGACTGAAAGAGATGCTGGTGGAAATTGTGGAGAGAAACTCTAAGAGGCTTGAAAGGGAGAAAAACAGCATAACAGAGCAGGTTGATGTGGAGCCTGGCATGTACTACATCCTGCAGCAAGATAGACTTCAGGAGACAACAGCTGCCGAGTATCCAGAACTGAAGCTCACCTACAAACCTGATGTCAGGAAGCTCATTCTTTCTGGATTGGTCTCAGAAGTGTTCAGTGTAAAGAGCAAGATCCTGGAAGCTGTAATGCATATGAAACACAAGCAGGTAGAGATTGACCCCAGTGTTACCAGCTTTCTCAGTGAAGTAGACAACAAGGAGCTGTCCTACTCCATCTTCACTTCACGGGGCATCAGTGCTGTTTACAAAATGGAAGATGGGTGTGTGGAGATTATAGGAAACAGTGACAAGGCCCTGGCTGAAGCAGCAAAGCAGCTGCAGGCAGTTCTGGGTTTTCAGCACATTCATGTAGAAGACAGAGATGTGCTGAGGAAACCAGAGTGGCTGAAGTTGGTTAATGATTTAAAGACAACTTTCAACTCCCCCCAGAAAACAGTGTTGATCAGAAGAGTGGAGTCCGAAGGGAAAGACCAAATTATAGTTTCTGGCTTTTGCAATTCAGTGAAGCAGGTACATGAGAAACTGGCTGATTTTATAAACAAATTTTCACACGTCAAAGAGGTTGTTCCAGTCAAGTCCAGCGCAGTCATCAAGTTCATCATGGAAAATAAAGCAGAGTTCTGGAAAAACTGTGCCAGCTCACGGCAGGTGGCAACTGACTTCGACCAGAGAAGACCACGGATCCTTCTGAGTGGGGCAAGGCTTTACGTCCAGGAAGTGAAGACTTTGTTTGAACACCTGGCTGCAGCTCTCCATACTGACCAGCTAATGATTGTCAAACCAGGGGCAAAGAAGTATTTCCAGGAAATAGAAAGGAAGATGTTTGTTTCCATTGCCTTGAGGGAACACAACTGCGTGGTGTTACTTCAGGATGACAGGTTCTTGGAAGAAGAGGAAGTGGATCAGTCTGTTTGTCAGGTGCAGATGTCTGATGGAGTAGCAATTACAGTCTGTAAAGCTGATATATGTCAGTATCCTGCAGATGCTGTGGTCAATGCCTCCAATGAGAATCTGCAGCACATTGGAGGTTTGGCTTTAGCTCTCCTCAAGGCAGCTGGTCATCAGCTGCAGGACCTCTGTGACCAGCACATCAGAAGAAACGGACCCCTGAAGCCAGGAGATGCTGTTATCACGGATGCTGGCCGTCTCCCTTGTAAACACGTCATTCATGCCGTTGGGCCTCGGTTTGGTGATACAGACTCTAGAAGAGCAGTTTGTCTTCTCAAAAGGGCTGTGAAAGAAAGCCTGAGACTGGCTGAGACGCACAACTGCTCATCTATAGCCATCCCAGCCATCAGCTCCGGCATCTTCGGCTTTCCTCTGGACCTGTGTGCAGAAACGATTGCTCGGTCCGTGAGGGAGCACTGTCAGGATTTCTACGGGGAGAACACGCTGAGGAAGATCCACCTGGTGAATAACGATGACAAAACAGTCCGGGCCATGACAGCTGCTGTGCAGAAGGAGTTTGCTGATGTGGCCCCACAGCTGAGGAGCCTGCCAGCCAAACCTGCTGAGGAACACAGACGATTCAGGGGAGGTGAGAGAAGTGTAGAAGTCGAGAGCAGAGGAGCCTTGGAGACTGTCCAGACGAAGGAGGGACTTGCCATCACCCTCAGGAAAGGGAACATCCAGGAGGCATCGGTGAGTATCCGTAGTGATTTATGTGTTAATTAGATCAACACAGATATCCTGGCAGTATAGCATTGTGGAAGGAATCTAACTCGGACAAACAAATTTAATTTTGTACTGTCCGTATGGATTTGGAAGTGTGAATGAACTGTTTGGAGCCCATCTATACACATCGGAAGTATGCTACTAATGCTGAAAGAGCTCTATACCCAATGTTATATTTCTTTGGCATATTATACCTTAGAGCACATTGTTTAATAAATATGTTTTAGGATAACATTTGAAAAAAACTGCTGTTGTGTATTTTGAAGAGTGTAGTTACAGTATGTCCTTTTTAAAATTGAAATAATCTGTCAATTGCTTTCCCCAACACACATACAGTAACACTCACTCCCCTCTTGCATGTCCTTCTGCTTGGGATTTGCAGACTGATGTCATTGTAAATACCATTTCTGAGGACCTAGATCTGAATAAAGGAGCTGTCTCCAAAGCCATTTTCCAGGCAGCCGGGCTGGAGCTCCAAACCCTGGTCAAGACAGAGACCGCGGGCGCCCGTTTCGATCACGGGGATGTGGTGATAACAGGGGGCTGCATGCTGAGGTGTAACAAGGTGTTTCATGTGATCTGCCCCTCATGGGACCAGGGAAGAGGCAAAGCGGAAGAGGTAATGCTTTATGTGTGAATATGTTGCTGTGTGCTAACACTTGAGTTAGGAGTGAGTAAAGGAAATGTTTTTAAATTAAATGAGCTTGATATTATAGTTTTAGCACACTTCTGACATTTCCATTCCAGGCAAAAAATAACATGTTGGTTCTAATATTGCAGTGATGGCAAACTGCCCTTTTAAAAGGGAACTGCACCTCTGTTTTTGTATTTTGAGGTTAGAAAGAATTGACATTGATGAGTGCGTTTCAAACCACAATGAAAGTAAAATGTACACAGCAACATTAGATTTACATTTTGACATCACAGAATAGCTGAAATTTTCAGGTACTCTATGTGCAGCACCATATTGCCATCTTTGTCTGTTATTCAGAACGAGTCAGTAAAACGATCTATTAAACAAGCAGGCTCTCTTTTAATCTGATAGAAATATTGCTCTTGACTTGGAGATGGTTTTGCGGACAAATACTACTTGTTAACTTTGTATGGGGGTCACCTTGTCACATTGGATCATTTTATGGTGAAATGTCTGCCGCACAACCTGGACTTATTTGCTTGTACATCGCATGACATCAGTCATTACAGTGACTAGTGAGCAGGAAGGGCTGGTTTTAGACACAATCCTCGTAAACTCTCTCTCTTGCCTCCGGTGAGACCAGTGGTTTTCCGACAAGACGACCATACAGCACTTTCACAAAGTTCACAATTTTGTGCTTAATTCGGAATTTGTACAATATTTGTGATACCGTCAATTAACATATTCGGTTACAGAGATGTAATAACCGGATTGGGAAATTGGGACTGCAGTTCCTCTTTAATACATTTCTGCAGAGCGAGACATTTTTTTTCCATGGAAGAAAAGCAATTTGTGCTTTTACACATGAAGGGTACAATTTACAAATGTAGCTGCCAGGATGATATGATGCATTCTGTTTTGCAGGTATTGAAACACCTCATTAAAGAGTGCCTGAAAGAAGCTGATATGCAAAAACAAAAATCGATGTCCTTCCCAGCGATTGGCACAGGCAATCTGGGATTCCCGAGATCTCTAGTGGCCTCAGTGATGCTGGACCAAGTCCTGAAGTTCAGCAGCAAGTGGAGCCCCAAACATCTTCAACAAGTTGTTTTTATAGTGCATCCCAGCGATGAGCAGACCGTCAGGGTAAGAAGCAGTCCGGCATTTTTCTGACAATTTCTTGGTAATAATTGGCAAAACCCAATCTTTGTGTTCTGGGTTCTGGGAGCCAAACTGAAACAAACATTGAGGCTGCAGACTCAGGCTTCAGCAGCATTTCTAGAAACGTGCCAGTGCTCCTCAGGAAACCAAGCCCCTCAGCTATTTCACAAAGTGGAGGAGTAAAAGTCAGTGTTCATCATTTTGTTGCTTTGACAGCGATATAATGTAACACCGTTCCTTTGCTCCTGATATTCAGAAACCAGCATGCTACAGGACAATCTCTTATTGCAAGTAATACTACTTGATACCGGAGTGTTAGAGAAAACATTCTGAATGAATTTATTTCTAGAAAATGACTAGAATGGTTTTTTCATCACTGTGTCTTTATAACACCCATTTTTAAATAGCAATTTTCAGATTAATTCATCATGTACATTTCTTTATAGAATAATGTAATAATAAACCCGGGCATATTTTAGTCTCTGTTTCTTAATGATTTTTGGTCCCCTTAAATCTGGGCTCGTGAACTGTATATCAGTTGTCTTTTTGAACTAGCAATGCGGGGGAGATCCTGTCTTGTGAAGTAACTGACTGCGCCTTTCTGATACAGGATTTCACTGCAGAATTCAGAGGTCAGCCCAAGGGCCATCGCCCACAACTCCGGCCCTCAGCTGAAGCCCAACAGGAAACTGGTAAACTGCTACGCAGTCTGACAACATTCATTTCTGATGGATTAAAACTTACTACTCATACACATCTAACAGAGAAAAATCGTATTTTTATTTCTGGTCATAATAATCTAAAAGCATATGTGAATGTAAACTATATGTGTATATTACCTAAATGATTTGTATTATAGAAGGGGTTGATGTAGTAAAAGTGATTCTGTACATATGGAAGAGCTTAAATTGGCTGATGGAACTGAATGCATTTTTCTCTGTGAAGAATCTGCCATCTTGGCTCAAGGCCATATCACCGGGCCTGGGTTTTGAGCCAACATGGCCGCTTGCTCACACAGCCACCTCTCCTTACATGACATTAAGGAGGCTGTCGCGCAAAAGATGGGAGGAGGATTCCATAGAACTTGATCTAAGTGATTGGAAACTAAAAAACATAACATTTCAGAATCAATAAAAAAATAATACAAGCTCTGACACCCAATAAAATGAAATGAATGGGCTTGACAGTGACAGATAGAGTACATGCTATCCAGGAGGTCATGAACTCACTGTGAGAGTCTTGGCGAACCCAGTGCTGTGTATACATGAGCACACAAGCCAAAGGGCCTCGCCTGATTAACAAAAACAATTCACACAAAAGTGCGTGTGGCAGGTGAACATTTAAATAGCAGAATCTCCACTTCTCTAGAGCTGCAGAATGAGCAGCAGAACATAAGGAACCATATTCTCAAAATCATATAAAATATTTTGTTGTTTCCCAGAGTCTGATATATATATATACAGTTTCAACTTAGTATGTTGCTTAATTTTGTGTATTTTTACTTTTTTGTGTGATATGAAAGTCATACTTGTTTTAAGCTTTGTAACCAAAACATGACCCATGTGAATCTGTTGTGTGTGGAAGCTGTGTTGTAATAACCATTACAATGACTAACTGGCCATTTTAATGACCAATTGTGCAAATAATAATGATGTGTTTGTCTTCAATCCCTGGCCAGCTTTCTTCAGCAGGATCTCGAGCCCCAGTCTGGGAGTTTACAGAATGACCATGGGGGGGCTGACGCTGGAGGTCTTGACGGGAGACATCACGAGAGAGACCACGGATGTCATCGTCAACTCATCCAACAGCACCTTCTCTCTCAAATCAGGTAAAGCAGCCTTTGTCTGTGCTGCTGTTGCACCTGTTCTCACCACTGCTAGGGCCAGTGTGGAGGGTCAGGATCGGTCGGGGGCTCAGGCTGCTCTTAGTCAGAAGATGCAGATTGCCGCAGGATTTGGCAAGTACAGAATCTCTTCAGCAAAAGAAGTGTGAGCCGGGGCTGGATTTTGGTGTCCGTAGGCCCCAGGCACTTTCACTCCAGAATGTGCAAAAAGGGGGAAACGATGATTGTAATACGTTGATTGACGTGATGCACCTTAAACTATTCTAATGCTGAACCACGTGATTGATGGAGCGAGTGGAGCAACAACCACTTCGATCCTTCCAGTTTCTAGAACAGCCACTAGATTATTGATTTGGAGCACCTCGAGCCGATCGCAAGCATGTTGTTTCAGCTCATTTTTCAGTGTTTCCCTCCTTTGTAGGCCCTAAACATTTCATAGGCCCTAGGCACTGGGCCTGCAGTGCTTAATGGGAAATCTGGCGCTGGTGTAAGCCCCGGATTTACACATTTGTGTTCCTTCCTCAGGTGTGTCAAAAGCAATTCTAGACGCAGCGGGCAGAGCCGTGGAATTGGAATGTCTCCAGTTGGGTACGTCACTTAAAAACAAGAGAAGTCATTCTGCTATCTAGCTTGTTCAGTTGCTCGTATCTAAGTGAGGATCTGAGGATCTCATTCAGCCGTTTCTTCAGAGAAGCCAGGGTATTGAGTGGCTAGAGACCCCTACAGTCTTTTGGGTAAAGTAGGAAATAAGCTCACTTTGAATGTGTGTCCACATGATTTCCACTTTGTGTCCTCTGGTTTGTGTTTCACTGTTGGCTGTGAAGAAGTCAGTTTGTCAGTGCCCTTGTGGATTCTTCTTACCTTGATCAGATCCAGCTGTAGTCTTCTCTGATTGAGTTTTAGCCTGTCAGTATAGGATATTCCCTTTAATCCCAAGAATCTGGTAATTTATTTCTGGGGTGATTCCAGAACAACAATGTTTTCTGTAACATGTTGACCAAAATTGTACATAATGTTCTAAAGAAAGTGCATTTTACAATTTAACCCAACATGCCCTAATTATGTTTCATATTTCTAGTATAAATAATGTATTTAAATCCATTAGTATTGTGACTGAATTGAATGACACATTTATTTTCACATCTTTATCGAGCCTCACAGCGCAGCCGTCACCGATTTCAGTCAGGTCACTTGCCAATCGCAGCTGGCTTTTAAAAGCTTTGTGATCTTCTGTTTTACTTCCCACTGTTTTTTCTTCACCAGCATCCCAGCCGAACGATGGGCTAATAATGACCCAGCCTGGGAACCTCCAGTGTCAACACATTATTCACATTGTTGGACAGAATGACCCCAATAACATCAGGGGCGTGGTGAGGACAGTTCTGCGGGCCTGCGAGGAGCGGAAGTTCCAATCAGTCGCCTTCCCAGCCCTTGGAACAGGTGTGCCAGAGAAAGAGGAGTCAATTCCAGCTTCTGACCTCCTCTGTGTATACTTCAAATAAAACATTCATGCAAGCACGTGTGCTACCTGTTGACATTATGGAAATGCTGGTCTGTTATAAAGTGCTTATCATCTTTCATCCTGATAGTGTCATCTAGATGAAAATTAGACCCTGATTTGTAGAAGCTTGTAAAAGTAATGAGTTAAGAGAAAAATGCTCTGATATTTTTGCAGTTTTCCAGATTAGGCTGACCTTTATTTAAGCATGTATTTATCATCTAATAATTTTGTACCTTATATTTTTTGTACCTGTTGATGCAGAATGATTTTACATATTTCGTTTCCTGCTTTAATGTTCTTTGAAGTCTTTACCAACTTTGGAAAAATCAGGACATTGGACCTTCCAAGAAGCATTTGAGAGAGTTTTGTTCACAGTTCTCGTTTGAAATGTATAGTTCTGTTGTGCCCATGCGCCCTGTTCTCACAGATGAGTCGTGATTCTTATTTTGATTGAAAACGTTTTGCTCTGCTTTTTCAGGACAAGGAGGTGCAAGTCCTGCTGTAGTTGCAGATGCAATGATAAATGCTGTGGTCGATTTCGTGAGTAAGAAGAATGGAGTATATTTAAAACACGTCAGGATTCTGATCTTCCAGGCAACGATGTTGACCGACTTCCATAAAAGCATGCAAACTAAAGAAGGCACAGCCCTACCGGAGCAAAAGTCTCTTTTGTCAAGGTTGAAATGTAAGTTGGTTTATGTTATGAAATTGTTACAATGTTTTGCTTTATCTGAGCGGAAATTCATTGTGCTTTAACAGACATTCAGGTTGAAAAGGGGCCTCTATCTAATGGATAAAAGAAATGCATGTTAGAAGTTATGTTGAAGTTTCTGTGTATTTTAAAATTAGATTCAGCATGTCCCCATGAATTAAGAATTGCAAAGCCAAACAAGCACATTTGTACCATTCATTTTGATGTGTGTAAATAACATATTTGATTATCAAAACCAAAATCGAAACATTATATTTTATAAAGCTAATGCTGTCAGTGTCACTTGCATTCTTTTTTATGACAGCCCTCTTTCTGGGGGATAACAGTGCAGAAGCAAAACCTCAAGAAGAGTTTGTAATCGTGGGCGAGGAGATTGAACCAGCCATCTTTCAGTTCTGCGCAGAAACGAGCCATAACCTTGCCAAGGCCAAGGACTGGATCAAAGATCTCATCGTCAAGGAACAAACTGAACGGACCATCAGCGACAAGTGGATCGCCTTCTTCTCTGACAGAGAACACCAGAAGATCCACAGCCTTCAGAAGAGGCTGCAGATCAGCGCCAAGCTGGAGAGCAGGGGCTCAGACTCTTCCATCCAGCTGGCGGGGCTGACCAGAGACGTGCTGGACGCCATCACCGAGATCCAGGCGATGATAAGGAAGATCGAGACCGAAGAGGTGCAGAAGCGAGATGCAGTTTTGGTGGGCAGCGTGGTGGAATGGCAGTACGAGGACAACAAGAGCTTCGTGCCCTTCGACACGCTCACCAACCTCACCCTGGAACAGGCCTTTGGAAGAAAAACCCGACAAGTCAGAATCAAGATCAAAAACTACGATTATGAAGTGGACCCTCATCAGTTGGTGGCAGAAGGAAGGGGAAACAAAACAATTAAATTAAAAAGAGTCTTACTGACAGGTACGTTTTTTTTCACATGCACTTTTTCCCCTTTCTGCCTATTTGGAAATGTCTGCTACAAACACCAGATAAATCCATTTTAAACTGATTCAGAGCAAAGAAGAGATATCACTGCCTAGTTCACTTCTTTTCAGCCAGGAAGTCTTAAGGGTTCAGGAGGGCTGAAAACATCTGATTCCTGGAGGAGGGTTTTAAAGTTGGGCATTCTCCACCTGGCACCAGCAAGGGCTGACTGGCGTGAAGCCATGCTTTGACAATATGCCCAAGCCAATATGAGCAAAAGAATCTGAACCGTGACTCATGGGCCCTGTTAAGGACAGACACCTGGCTCAGCCCGGGTTAGAACTTCAGATGCCTTGGAGGCCTGGGTGCTGTGCAGTTACAATTAGTGAGCACGTTGTAGAGTGTGTGTTTTTCACAGTAGACATTTATCAAGCACAATGAATAACAATGTTTTAATTTGCTTGTATTTTACGACTTGGCTGTTTTACCTGCCTTACAGATGACAGTTTGGGAAACCTTCCGAGCCACTGGACTGATATGAAGGGGTTACACAAGATGCAGGTCCAGCTGACAGTTGGCTCTCGGGAGTACCAGGAAGTGGAAAATGAATTCCGGAAGACATGTCCAAACTCTCAGATTATTAAGGTACTAGATCACCTCTCCCGAAGCCCAGAGGGATGGCCGTTTGTTCAGTTTTCCTCTATAGTGAAAGCTGTCATTGTCTAAAGACATTATCACAACTGATAAATGACTATTTCTCTGTGCAAAAAAGACTAAAAACAGATATTTTAATCACAACAAAAGATTTATATATGAATCTTATATAAGGAGCCAGATCAAGTGACGGGTCAAGGCAGAGTACACCTTAGAGGGGACGCCATCATTGCAGGACAGTCACACCCAGGGCCACTTTTGCTGTAACCATTTTGTTTTTGGACTGTGGGAGGGAACGGGCAGAGGCAGTAAGCCAACTGTGCAGACAGCAGCCAGGCTCCGGGAATTAAACCTAGGACCCCAGCACTGCAAGGCCACCCTATGACAAATTTACTCAAAACATAATTGATATTTTAAGAATTACTACTTATAATTATGAATTATATTGCATACATAATTACTATTTTATCCGTTTTTACTTTGTTGTAATAATTCAGATAAAACGCAATTTTCTATGATTGTTCGTGCATCCTATTACAGCCACTAACAACAGGCTTACTGAGTGCGGTTTTCCTAGATTGAAAGAATTCAGAACAGCAACCTGTGGAAAAGCTACCAGATCAAAAAGAAGTTTCTGGAAGAGAAGAACTGCCACAGTAACAACGAAAGGCTGCTCTTCCACGGGACCTCCCCATCCAACCTGGGCCACATCAACGCTCACGGCTTCAACCGCAGCTACGCAGGGAGAAACGGTACAGCCCAGATTGCGCCTTTTCACTTAGACATGCTTGTTACATGTTCCGGGTGGAGTGCTCAGGGCTCTGGACTCTGGAGCGGAGTACTTGCCACTGACATCTGATATGTGGCTTACTTTACTAAAAAACACAGCTGTACCACTTTCAATAAAAGCATCACCCCAGTGAAATGGAATTAAAACATCAGTTGGCATGGCTGTACTGCTTTCCTTGTTGTTGACCTACGTCTCGGTAGCCACCAAACAATCAAATGCACACTTGCATTGACTTTAATCACCCTGGGGCTGGAGGGTTATCCAGAAGTAGGCATCGGTGGGCATTGATGCAGTCTGGGCACTAGATTGGAGGCACCATTACTGTAGATGTTTTCTAGAATGACAATTCCAGACATTGCACTCTGCTCTAAAGAGAGAGTGGGAGCTGAAATGGAGGGATACTGTGCAGTTCTCCAGTGATACTGTATGTTAACAAGTTGCATGCGCAATGCCATTTCAAGTTCAGTGATCCAGCACAGCTTGTAAGCCTCATGTTAATGTATAGCTATTAGCTGATAAAAACCTTACAGTCAAATGACCATTCTGGAGTTCTCAGACAGCTATACAGGGACTGGTCCAGTCATTTGGCAACCCTGCAATGTTGCATGTAATCACTTAACCACACTGTTAAATATTGTTTCCCTGCAGCTGCAGTCATTGGCAATGGAACTTACTTCGCAGTCGATGCCAGTTACTCTGCAAGCAACACTTACTCTGTGCCTGACTCCCTGGGTCAGAAGTTCATGTACCTGACCAGAGTCCTGACTGGGGACTACACACGGGGCAGCCAAGGTCTGATTGTCCCTCCTGCCAAGAACTCTACAGACTCTACAGATTTATATGACAGCGTAGTAGACAACACATCAAATCCCAGGGTGTTTGTTATTTTCCATGATGTGCAGGCCTATCCAGAGTATCTAATCACATTCTCCTAATTGCTGCTAGACTGATACGTTCTCGGATTAATTATGGAAACTTGGTTTCATGTGCAGTGATGTATGGAATGGCTATTATCAAGAAAGGACAAGGGTGTTAGAGTTGAAGCAAAGAAATCAAGACATGAGATGTTTCTGTGCTAGAGTTTTTGAGATTGTGTAAAAAGTTTCTGAATAGTAACAGCAGATTTGAGGATGTGTTATGTACCTAGACCTGATATTTTACACATTTTAATCAATTTGTTAGTCATTCTTTGCTCCTGTGGGATCTTACAGATATAATTTCCACTTCTTTGGAGTTGCCTATGATTCTTGTTTGCTTTGTTTTACTGTTTAAAGTTATTCAGTCCAGGCATGGATACAGTTTGCAGTTTTTGGGGGGATTAGCAATACAAAAACACTCTTTATATTTGAAGACTTTTAATTGGCTACACTTCTGTGAAGCCCACATTCTACTTCTCAAATAAATAACTAACATTATGTTGAGCATTAATGTTTATACTGATGGATATTATTAGAAAATATCTCATATTTACGTAAAGCACAATGTTCTGTTTAATATTTAGGATATCCCACTTTGTAAAGCTAAGTGGTTAAAAGCACTTTTTATATTATAAGTTTTGTTTCAAATAATTGTAAAATGAACCAGACACTGAATCAGTCAGATCTTCAGTAATTTAAAAACAAACGTTGATGGTAAACAAATACACGTTCTTCAGCAGTCTCAGTGTTTTACAACAGTACACAATACCTTCCTCTAAAATGCAAATAACAATCATTGTATGATCATTAGCACTCAAAAACCAACACGTCTTTTTGAGTAAAAAAAATATTTTATGAGGATTTTTTTTCTTTGAATAATTTTACCTCACTGAAAGGTTAGATTTCTCTCATATATTTTTAGTGTAAAATCAAGCTGATAAACAACAAACACTTTTTCATAGCCTTGTTTCGCTCATCTTTACCAAGGGTGACAATAATTCTGGAGGGCACTGTACAGTATATGCTGAGCATCAGAACTGGCAAAAGGCCAGGACAAACGTGTGGTATGACAAAAAATAGACGCTGAAAATGTGGAATACTTGAACAATCTGATGAGACCGACAGTGATGCTTGAGTAACAATATTTTAACTGTACGTTAAGTGAATAAAAATCTGTATTTTGAAGCAGTATTGACTGTTTGGCATTGCTTACAATGTGAGTTCTTTTCCAATAAACTCTTGGGATGACAGTTTTTGCTGCAGTTTACTAAAATCAGGAAATAAGCCAAGCTTAGAAGCCACCATTATCACTAATTTGTATGGCCTTTATTTTTATCCAAAGCAGTTTTCAACCATACATGTATAAAAAAGAGTAATTACTAAAGAGACCTGACTGAAGTACCTTGCTCAAGAAAAGCAGGGATTTGAACCCTCAACCTGCAAGTCTAAATCTCTACTCTACTGCTACCCCTCAGATTCAGGTTATCGGTCTATTTTCATTGCATACAAATACAGTAGTTACATTAATTACAGCAAAGAAAAAGTGTGATCCAAAAAATCGAACTGCTCATTAGTGCTACACTGTAGAGAACATAAAAACACCTGGTTACAAAATCAAGTACCACACAGGTGACAGGAGCTCAGATCAGCTGCAAAGCAAAACAGCATTAGAACCTCTGAATAGTTGGACTTTAGTTTCAGAACTGCTTTATTTCCCAAGAAGAATCAACTGCCTCACAAATACACTGTTAGTGGCAGAAGAAAATCATTAAAATATAAAAAAAAATGTCCAAAAATTATCTGGAGAAAAATGTTATGGATATAAATGTCCGAGAAGTCCACCTCATACAGTAACAGGCAAACAGACACACTGAGGTATAACTCAGAATTGTGTGCAGAGAGGCTTCAACTTGTTTAAAACACCTTACATCACATTGTCTGTGCGTTACAGCCTCTTCATTGATATAGTTTCAGTGAGAAACAACAATTATTGCATTACATATTCAAAATGTTCACAACTATTGAAACACCATGAGATGACTTAGCTGTCTTAATAGTTAAGTTCCTCTTGATATGGAACAGCGGTGCACCAAGACAATCAACTACACTGTGAGAAAGTGAAACATCTCCCTTGCTGAAGTAACTTCAAATACTGGAAAAACGGATAACGGCCACATTTAGAAAGTTCCACCAGGAAGAAGATTTTAGTTCTTCATATTGCAGGGTTAAAATTAAAAGAATGTTAGAATAAAATCAGGAAACAGCAATCCTTCCCAGATCTTCCTTGGCACTCGTGATACAGCTTAGGGATGGAAAAAGCCTTCTGGTCCAGGTGCTGACTGGCACTCAAGGGCTGAGACAGAGGAGCAACATGCTGGAAGGAGAATCCTGGAGGAACGATATTAAGGGGACATCTAGTGGAGAGCAGGGAGAAGGATGACAGAGAAGTAACACTGAGCAAATCTAAAAACACTGAACCGCACGGGATGTGTCTGCCTACACACATCAACCGTTTCCTTTCAGAGCGGCTGCCTTTGTATTTCACCAAACACGGGTCCTTTCAGTGTTGCTCAAGAAAGAGCGTGTGATCAAAAGTTGTTTGTTTTGTGCCGCTGTTTAAGACGCGCCACGTCAGCCTTCTCCGTTCCTCTCGGTCCCCTGCGCCCCTCCCTGCTGGCTCACTGTCGGGTCTCCTCCTGCTGCCGGCGGCTCCTGCCCCTCTCCCGTCTCTCCGAGCCCAGCGCCCCCGCCCGCCTGCCACGACCGGCCGCCTCCTTCGTTCTTCTCCGCCCTCTCGTTTCGACTCGGGAGCGCCGGTCTCTTCAGACGGACGGGGCGGCTGGCCGTGGGCGGGGGCGGGTCCGGCTGCCGGCTCCGTGCTGGGGGCGGGGCCAGCCTCGCTGTCGCCGCCGGGCTTGTGCCACCGCTGTGCCCAGCTGCACGCCCAGCCCCGGGGGGGCTCTCCGTGTGTCCGGGCTGCGCACCTGGGCTCTGAGCTCCACGAGGCTGCGGCCAGCGGGCCTGGGTGGCTCTCGGGGGGCGCGGAGCGGGGTCGGAGGACCGCGCTATACCAGAATTCCTGACGCGGATGGCGGTGCTGGTGGATGGCCCGGTGAAGGTGATCCTGTTGGCCACGCGCTTGGGACTTGGCTCCGCTTCTTCTTCCCTCTCCAGCAGATCAGGGAACCACCTGAAAGGAAAACGCAGCATGAAAGACAGAAACAATCGCTCCGCGGGAACTGTGCTCGGGTTCTGAAGAAGCAGGGCTAGATTATTTCCCACCTCAAAGCCAGAGAGGGAGGTGGCAGCCTAGGAACAATTGAGCCAGGTATTCAATTCAAGCTTTATTATCCCTGGGGAAATTTTAATATACCTATTTATCATACCCACAATTAATAGGTACCCTGTTTATTACAGCATACCTGAACATGCTGTATGTAAATATTTAAAAAACAAGATTCTAATATGGACATTGTATTCTGTGTGTGCAGTTATTTTCAGGCTGATACAGCCAAAACTTTGTTTTTTGTGTCAACAGGACAACAACGTTGGGTGTATTACCTTTTAAGTTCTGAAGTAACGCGCAGATTTTACTGTTTACTTAAGAGCATGAAAAGACGGGATTGAATCCTGTGAGAAACAACTGTCAGGTATCTCAGAGAAAGACACAGACAGGAGTAGAAAGGCAGTAATGCAGATGACACGGGAATTCAAATGTAGGGGCAAAACAAGTAGTGGGACTCGCACCTGGAAATACAGGAAGTGTCTACAGCAGGCTCGTAAAGGAGAAATACAACGTCTGATGAGCAGCTCACAGGAGCAACCCTGCTTTATCCTGGGAAGAAGGATAAATATCTGGCATTTTTTCTGCACGATCAGACAGTTTAATATACTTATGGAAACAGTCTGATTTTGCTTCTGCTTTTGCTTTTGCTGCTACAGTAGCTTCTCAATGAGCAGAATGAGGAGGCGGCCGGACGTACCTTTTGTATTGAGGTAATAAGGGCTCCTGGCTCTCCTGCAGGGGCCGTTTCTCCAGGGTCCAGCACTCGATCAGCTCCTGAGGGACCCTCCAGAAGCTCACCCCTGCAGGGGGAGAGCACCGCGCACAGGCCATCAGGCGCCACGCTGTCTACAGGGAGCCATGCAGACCCCCCCCCGTGGCAAGGAGGCTGTTCATTTAAAGACACTAGCTGGCCAGATTTCCTCTCCCTTGAGAGGAGTGATGTACAAGTACCGTCCGCTTTCTCATTTTACCCTCTTAGGCATATAACATGCCCTCCGATACCTTTTATGAAAGCTGGGGAGGATTTCCCTAGATGACCCTGTGCTTCAAGGCAAAATCTGCCCCATGCGTTCCGAAATCCCAAGCCCATAAAGGGATAATATCATTCCAGGGAAGAGAGATCGGATGAACGCTCCCTCTTTTTGAGATACATTGGTGGGAAATTAACAGTGAGTTTCTTAAAAAAGGGGAAGAAAAGAGAACTTTTTTTACACTGGAGCAAAACTGAATGTTGTTGTGGATTTTTATGAAATCTCTTAACAAGCACTGAAAGGGGCAATGGGTGTCCGGAATGGCTTAGTTCCAGCTTCTGTCCGTAGGCACTGCACGGTTGCGAGGGCAGGGGTAAGGAGGGATACCTTCCTGGGATCACCTGGCGTTGGAACTGGAGGCCTGCCCGCCCCTGCCTGTGTCGGTCCGCACTCACCCCGCCCCTCCCAGCTGTCGAAGGCGTCCATCATCCTGCCCAGCTCGGAGCGGGAGTAGTAGCTCCAGATGCACTGCATGTTGCCTCCTGCCTCCCTGCAGCACCGAGGCCAGGAACAGCGTGAACGGGGGAGAAGAGACAAACCCATGCGTCAATACGCCGGACGGCAAAGGATGGTTATTCATTATATATTCTGAACGAGCTGATCGAGTGCTGGACCCTGGAGAAACGGCCCCTGCAGGAGAGCCAGGAGCCCTTATTACCTCAATACAAAAGGTACGTCCTGCCGCCTCCTTATTCTGCTCATTGAGAAGCTAGCAGCAAAAGTATAAAATATAGTCTAGATTTTATTGCAACAGATCGACCGGCTCTGCTGGCTCTCTGATCCGGAACAACATCAACAGCAGGGCTGCCGCAGAGATAATGAGCGAGTAACCCCTGGAAAGCCGTGATGCAGGTGCAGTGTACTCTGCGTACCGCACCTTGTGCTCTGGTGACATCACAGCCCAGCAAGCGCTCGGCGCAGCTGATGATATGGGTGTGCCCGTGATTCTGGGCGGGGCGTGGGAGTGTGTGGGAATACTTCTGTCCTGCGGCGCACAGCGCAGACGGACGACGTGTGTCCGCGTGTGGGCGGGTCCACGGTACCTGCGGTGCACGCTGCGGCTGGTGCCCTTGCCCCCCAGCTGCCTGTCCATGGCCTGCAGGCCCTGCTCCCGGCTCCCATACACCCCCAGCACCTTGCTCTCGCAGCTGGCTCCGCAGGCGCTTAGGTAGTGCAGCACCCACACCGCGGGCTCCGTGCACACCCGCCCGTAGGCCTGGCACAGCTCCCCCAGGGCCTGGGACACAGGACACAGCACTGAAGAGCACACCCCTGACACGCCCGGCCGCTCTCCTGCAGGACAGCCGATCTGCTGTTAAAAGGAAGCCGATCTTCCTGCACACAGGAAGCCTTCTGCCCACAGAGAGATTAATGAAGGATGGGCATGAGGACGGGGCGCAGACAGCAAATACAAAGAGAGACTATATGCAGTCTGAATGTAACGGGGATCTGAATTAATAAGAGACGCTTCTGTCCATTTCGGTGTTGGTAATGCATTTCCACAAACTCGGGCCTTGCTCCATGCCCCCTACCTATAGATGCTTGCATGATGGAGCTATGTTTCATTTGGGTGGTGACGCATCCTTTGACAGTGTTTCAGATGCAAAAACCGCAGTCACTTGTCTTATCATCTCAGGGTGACCGGCATTAAGCTATAGCCTCACACAGGATCCCAAAGGCTTTATGCAAGGTTTAAAATCGGCTTTCCTATACAGAAGTCAAAACGGCAGTCTCAACAAAACGTATTAAGCTTTGGAGTCAAGACAAGAATTCCTACAGTTACGAAAGTGGCTATTTCTCATGATATCCACCTATGCAAATGAGACAAGGGGAATCCAGTTGGCTGGAAGGGATCGGAGGGATCTCCAGGTGTTGTCCAGCTAGAGTAATACAGTATGTAGAGAAAGGCTCTAGAAACCAGCGTGGGAGGAGATGCAGGCTCACCTGGCGCAGGGGGAGACCGTCTCGCTGAGCCCCTGCCTCCAGCTCCATCACCAGCTGCTCGGTTAGAGAGCCAGGGAACGGCACCCCGAAATAATCCGCTTCCTGCTGCACGGCCAGTCGCGTCTCCTCGTCCTCGGGGAGGTGGAGCTCTCCGTGCAGGTAGTCCAGCAGGAATTTGAAGAGCTGTCCATCACGGTCAATCACACATGCCCCTGGAGCAGAGAATGGAATAACACAGCTCTGGGAACACAGATACAACAGAGTTGACTGCCTGGAACCTACTTCAGCTGTGTAAATACAGGACAGCTACTTTGTTGCTCTAGTGAAAGACAGAAGTATGTTATCGTGTAGGCCAGTAACATTATCAGACTCAGCTCTGAGGCTGTCATAACACAGCAGGAGTTTGGGGATCCTTTTTGAAGTTGGACAGAAATACCACTGCAACACACGTTCAAAGCATGTCTGACAAATGCATGGAGACCTGTGTCAGTGCGAAAGCAGCGGCTCTCTGCGTGTCTCCCGCGGGCCCGTGCACAATCCCCTTTCCGTGCGGAAGCTCACCGCTCTGATCACGCCTCAGGGGGAACCTTCCGCTGAACATGGAGCAGAGCATGGAGTCCTTGAAGCGACAGAGGGATTCCCTGCGAGCGGTGAACTGGCGACCCCCCACTGAGAGCTGCAGCACCTCCGACACCTCCTCCGTTTCCATCTCTCCCGCCTGGGGAGCACAGAGGCACAGAGACGTGGATCGGCAGCTGGTTCCTCGCCCTTGGAGGGAGGCAGGAGTTATCCATGTGTCCTAAGCTGCCCATGGTGCTGGGGAACAGTGCTGGTTTATTTCACACCACAGCTCCAAACTCCCAGAAAGCGCCGCGCTCACTCTGCAAGTTACATTTTCTACGTACTCAAACACACTCAGCACAATAATGAGTTCCTTTACACAGAAATCCATCCACTATCAATATCCACAACATCCTATAGAGTGTGAAGAGCCTCACCCCACAAGCACAGGGCATGTGGTGTGACTAAACACTGGGCAGCAAACCAGTACACCACAGAGCGCACACACACAGGGACACAAGGACAATTTACACACACCAGTTAACCTAGCCAGCAGATCAGTGCACCCAGTAACAAGGGGGGCACCACAGAGAAGGCACCTCAGGCTGGAACAGACCCCAGGATCCAAGGGCTGTGAGGCAGTGGTGCTGTCACACCATGCTGCCAACACTAAAATTATTTTTTTTTAAAATAATTTCAACCAATTTTACCAGTTGAAACTATTTACGTTTAAACTATACGTTTACGTTGAAGGAGAGGAGACGTGAGAGATTTCTTAGGGCAGAAAAAGTAAAGGTTACTTAATGCCTACAAACACAAATGCACTATTGGGGAAATTGTGTATACAATTTAACTCACTCTTGCTGCAACCTGTCACAATAAGACGAACAGTCGGTATAAAATTATCTACAGAGCACTGTCAACATGTGGGAAGAAGTAGTTGAATAATTCAGATACAGTACAAGAAAAACCATCAGTTTCAGAATTATTGTGTTTTATTCTACACACGGTGACCCCAGACTCTATCTGTACAATTCACTGCAATGCATAAGGAAGGACTGACTTCGGACTATATCGCTAGGAAAGAATGGATGTCTGTTTCACTAAGAACATTCACTAAAATTAATCATATACCAATTAAAAACTTCACTGTTATCCAGCTTGTACCGTGTAGTCTGCTTAAATCTACCTTTATATATCAGGATCTCTTTCGTTCCGCACGGAGTAGCATAACACGATTTAAAAGAGCAAACCTGTCGTTCCTATACAATCCCTGAGCCCAAAATAAGTCCAGCGCCGTGTGCGGGGAAAAAAAAAAATTATTGTTGTACTTTATCTGATCAAAGTGTATTTTAATTGTGCTATACCTCACTACAAATACAGCCCAACTTTGAAAAATCTCACAGAGAACGAAAAACAAAACTTATGTAGAGCCGTAAACCACAACACAAAGAGTATAGATATCTCTTAAAACAGATGTTTGGTGTTAATGGTTTACATTGATAATAGCGACGCCTAGCGCCGTGGAGGGGATATTACGAAACAGATTTATTATTCTCTTTAGTTGAAAGACAACTTGATATCATTTAATCTCGGATCTTAATTATTTAAGTGGACTAATTATTAGAACAACAACTCATTTTACTTTAGGTCTTTTTTTTAGGTCTTCAAATCAGAAAAATACCTGTGATCTTGCTTTCTGTTTTTTTTAGCACAACAACCAAAAAGAAAGGTGTGCCTTTAAAAGTAGCTTCTCAGAATGCTTTACAGTAAGAAAATAAAAACAAGGAGAGGAAATAGCGATAGGAAATTAGCACAATTAAAAAGAAGGGTTTAGACTGTAGAAGATGCAAAGGGGACAGGCACAGACATCAATTAAATAAAAGCTTTTCTGAAGAGGAAGGTTCTGAGTCTGGATTTGAAAGAGCTCGGGGACAGTGACTCTGATATCCTTGGGACAGAATTCCAGAGCTTTTGGAGTGCAGCTGGAGAAGGTCCCGTCACCCACAGAGTGTAGACGTGCTTGGGGGGACAGACAGGAGATCGGAGAGATGAAGGAAGGTTGCGAGGTGGGGAGCAGGGAGACAATAACTCAGACAGGTCTGGAGGTGCCAAGCCATGCAGAGCCTCAGAGGACTGGAGGTGCCTGTGAAGTTATGCTTCCAGTGTGGACAAGCGCCTTCGGCACATTGATTAGTCCTGCGGTGCTTTTGAGGTGTGAACCCGTCTGTCCCTGACTCAGAAAAATGTTAAAAATCAACAATATCAACAGAGGACTGTACACTTTCGAGAACATAAGGGATTATAAATGCATCTTTTAAAAACATAAAAACTACAATTAGGAACCAAAGATATCTGCAAAGGAACAAGTAATAGGTTTATTCCATGCTGAAAAAAAGAAGAAAGAGAACACAACGTTTCGGCCGTGGAGCCTTCTTCAGGTGTATGCACCTGTGTACACCTGAAGAAGACACCTGCAGAAGGCTCCACGGCCGAAACGTTGTGTTCTCTTTCTTCTTTTTTTCAGCATGGAATAAACTTATTACTTGTTCCTTTGCAGCCTACGCATGCTGACGCAGCTGCCCACCTGAACTACTACCGACCAAAGATATCTGCCTTGTTTCTGCTTTGATTAAAATTATCCTTTAATCTGATTTCTCCTTTAATTCAAAGTACACAATTTATATCTGTTAGCCAGAAAAACTGGTATCCAGAGACCATCGAAACCAATTCTCATTCTAATCCAGCAGTTTGGTGGATAATTCAGCAATGCACAAGCACAGTGCCCACAGTGCGAGTCTGGTGGAGCTACAGTGCAGAGCCCTCAGGTCTGAGGTGTGCTAGCTGTGGCCTGTTTCCTTGATTTCATTGTGCAGAAATCCTACTGTTGAAAGCAAACAATGCTATTTCAAAACACCGTCCTTTGTGGTTTCAAGGCAAGCCCATATATATCTGTAAACATTCCCCGAGAAACAAAACATTCAGTTTGTGCTCCTGTCAAACGTGTTTTTCTGCGGCAGTTAAGAAGCATTCCTCTTGCTAACAATAAGACTCATCTGTTCAGCTGAGGTCTCTGCACACTCTGCACACATCTTCCTGGGACAGGCATGATCTTACCAAACAGAGCAGATTGTTTTCACTCGTTTTCTGCCGAGTCATGCTGACGGAGCTCCAAACAGACTCTGATAAGTGGGGAGCAGTTTGATTCAGTTTGATCTACAGCAGACTCGCTAAACACCTGTCTATTGCAGGATTCAAACCCAGAACCCAAAGACAAATTTCCATTAATTAAGCCATACATACATCCTGTGGATATGTGTTTTGGGATTACAGGCAGGCTTATTCTTTGATTTTAAAATCCCTAATCCATATTCCTCTTTCTTACACAGTCCTTCCTAAAGTAATTCCTCCTCCCTATTTGAAAAGACATCCACTTGTTTTACAATGTTCCGTGTGCTGTACAATGAGTCCTGTCTGTTCTTGTGTAAGTTACTCACCATGCATGCAAGAATATTGGTTTTTAAGAGCTTTGAAATCACAGGGTGCTTCCTTGACAAACCTGGGATCAGGGTCTTAGGATGTCTGTGTGTGAGGGGTGATGGAGGGAGCTACACTGGAATTTAGCCCTGGAGTGTGTGTTCACAGAACGTAAAATAAACTACTTAACAACTTAAAATAAACCTGAACAGGAAACAATTAAGAATATAGGAAATGTCCCTCACCATTCAGCTCATCTAGCTTACTTCCTTGCTGGTAGCTAATTGATCCAAGGCTCTCACCCTGCTGTTTCCTGAAAGAAATCAGCCGGACAGCGTGTTCCAGTCACCCACAACTCTTAGTGTAAAGACGGGCCTCCTGTTCTCGGTTTTAGATTTGTTTCCAGGGCTAAAGCCTGTCAGTGGAAGGAATTGCACTGGTTGTCCTTTTCTGGACTGATTCCTGATTATTCCTGATTCCTGGTTATGGCTGTAATGAAGTGCCGTGAAGTGCTCTACCTGCAACATGAATCCAT